GGGGGGCTATGTACCGGTGAAAGAAGGTATAGACACGGGGAGATGCATGGTTACGGTGGTAATGTCTGCAGTGCTGGATTCGGGGAGGGAGGAGGTGGAGGAGGTTTGGAGGATGGATTGCAAGACATGGCGGACTTGGGTTTGGGTGCTACGGGGCAGGGCGGCGAAGGGGTTAAGGGTGGTGTTGGAGAAGATGTTCTCGGGGAGAGATGGGATTGAGGAGAAGAGGCCAGCGGATTGGAGGTCGGAGAGGAAGATGACAGTGTTGTGGAGACGGGTTGCGCATTGTGGGGTGGGATGGGAGGGTGAGGAGGCGATGCCGTAGGGAAGGTTGTGGATGGAGAAGTGGTCAGAGTAGGAGGGAGAGGTCATTTTGGCTGTTTTGTCTCTTGTATGCTGTCTGAGGAGTGAGTATGCTTGCTATGATCTTTGGATATCTCGTATACGGAATAGTAGGATATTTTATAGTTCGTAAATGCGGAGATTGGCCCGTCGGATGAATGCAGTTCGCGCCCACATCCCGATGGTTGAAGTTATCCGCCAGATTTATCCGAGGATATACTGGGATGAGGGTTTCGTTGTCTATGACTTTCTGTGGACGGATTTTGGTTTTGTAAGGATAGGCCAGATGTTGACGAGTTGCCATGGGAGGTAGTATGAGAGTAGCAATGTATTATTCTCTGCATAGTATGCTGCCTCATACCAATTGCGGGTTATGGCTAGGATGTACTCTTGGAGCAAACATTGATTTGTTGATATGTTCGGCTCCGTAGTAGATGATTTTATTAGCAGAATATTGGTACGGGGTATCATAATGAAAGGATACGCAGAGAAGAGAGCCACTGGCCTTATGTGGAGAACTCCTATAGCTGTCCGTACTATTATCAACGAAACCTGCCAAGCCTGTCAGGCCTACGACTCACAACCCTAACCAGATTCCATTGCTAATGGCCATTGCTTGCCGTACAGCCTGACATTGATTCACAAACTCGAGCACATTTCTCGTTCCCCTAAGAGCTGTTCCACGCACTCGCGTAACCCATCCTTAATTTGCGAGGGGCTTAAGAACGGGGATGCGATATGGTGTACGGTATCGCAGCCCCCCATGGCCTGTAGAAAGGAACCATCTTCCATTAGGTCTGCCTCAAGTAAGAAGAGACTCCCCGGGTATTGAGACTGGAGGTCGAGGAGGGGCTCGCATTTGGTGGAATTTTTGACGCTGCGCACGGTCGTGTGGACTCTGTGTCCCTGCTCGAGGAGCAGCTTGATGACGTGAAGGGCTATGTAGCCTGTGCCTCCGGTAACTAGTGCATTTGACATCAACCAACATGTAAAAGCGAATAGAGTAGGTATGGTTCCCGGGTCTATGCTGCGATTGGGTGATGGAGAGGGAAGGACGGCATTAGGTACTTGAAGTAGTGATCTGCAAAAAGCATGAGTGATACTTTGCTGTCAGCATCTGGAAGACTGATTTACCACACATGAGCCCCTTACCTTGGTCGAGTACCAGCCTTGTATGTTGATGGTTTCTGCGTGTAGACGAGTCAGTTGGCGATCCATAAGCTCAACAGTATTTGCCATCTGTCAGTGAACGGAAAGGTTACGGTCCTGACTGGTGACAATTTATGCGATAAGAAGACATAGTAGTTTTAGATTTTCAACATACACAAACGAGTTGTCCTTGGGTGGTCTTGACGACAATTGTTGCTGAGGAGAGATGAGTTCACGGGAGATGCACCGTAGGAAGACCCGTCTAGTCTGAAATGGTGTAATTTAGCAAGATAAAACACTGACTAATCAATTTCTTGGAATGGCCTGCATACATTCATTTACATCTGCCACTTGATTTGGCGCCCGTCAAAGAAGACAAGGTCACCTCAATAACGTGTCTACAATTGACTTCCAGAACTTGGACGCGCCGACATTAGCCAAAATCCATTTGGAGACTGAGCTACTAAGAGTGACTACTAACAAGATGTGCACAGAACGAGATTGCACTGTTATGTGCCCATTGGACCCATAGTGCCCACATAGCCAGTGCTAATATCCATCACTTGTCAGAGGCTCGCCCAACGGCGATCTTCAAAAGCATCTATCTCTCATTGCATGCTTTCAATACTCCACCTATCACATATCTGCGATGCATCGGGTGGTCCTGCAAGTGCTGCTCTGGATGAAATCTACGCGCATGGTCAGATGTCTTGCCTAAACAATTCTGCTGGAATCCCAATATATCGCATCATATTATCATCAACACAAAACAACACATCGAACTATTCACATTCAGAAGTAATAATAGCAATGTAAAGCGCAATCCAGTTCAACCACACCAGCAAGTAATATACTTACATACGCCCAAATATAGCAAACAACACACACGTAAGTAGGCAACTACCAGCATACAGGCAGGTCAGTACCCTTGCTCCGGCTACATATGCATACATATCATGCACAATTGAACTAAGGAACTAATCGTGTGTAGGTACTCCTGTATGTAAATGCAAACCTACCTGACCGCCACCGGTACATACATGAACTTCGTGCATTAGTCCAGTCCAATCTGCGAGAATCAACATGTAATCCGATCCCAACCACTGAGACACTCGGAAAAGAAGGGAGACAAACTCCAGGGTACTGATTACTATCAAGATCGGCGTGGGTAAAGTACGATGTTGTTACAATACATGCTCTAGCTCCCTTTTTCCCACGCGAAAGCTTCGAGAACAGAGCACGACAGTTGCGGCTGTTACGGCAGATGGTGATTAAATTGTTATCGACGTGCTAGGTTTGAGACCGGCAGGACGGGATTGAAATGATTTGTGGCGCAGTTGGGGCTGGAAGTGGTTGTGAAGAACTTTGGGGTGTGATGATAATGAGGAGTGAGGGTTGAGTCCTTGAAGAATTGGGGTTAGGTGGTGATTTACCTGATAAACGAGCCGGTTATGCAGGAACATAAGTACGTACGTATCTCGGGCTTTGATCAATGCCTAACACTCTGTTTATACACTAATATGGCATGATGTATGTGCTATTGTGGAGTTCGTTGGTATCTTTGGCTGTTGATTGTGGTGTGTAAGAAATGTCTCAGGGAAGATGGCATTCTTCAGCAATGGCCACTGCGGCCAAGGGTAGGTAGGTTGAAGGGGAAAGTAAAAAGTAAAAAAGGGAAAAGAACACTTGACCAGTGTGGGACCATATTTAGCTATTCTTCAGCTGCAATGGATGCTCGGGAATATAATTCATTGGCGCCTACAAGGTGAAAAGTTTCCTATCGGGCTATTGTGGTAGACTGAGAGCATAATTGCTTCTTTCATTCAGATCAATGCAGCGGGCGCTAAACTCCGACTGCCGCATATGGGCAAACATATCCACGCCCTGAACTTGTGGATACCATGCCATGAGTCTGACCTTAATACCAGGTAAATCAGGAAATTGCTTGGATGCAATGAGAGAAGAAATAATCGAAATCGCTAGTTATCCGATGTGGTCTTGTGTGCCATCTATTCTTCAGCGCAGGCAATGGGACATCCATATAGTAGTATATATATCAGGCAACTCAAAGCATCATCAGCTGCAGATTGTCTCCGGACTGCATTTGGTGTATCGGACAAATAGTGGGTGCAGACGTTCCTGAGCTTATCCAATCACCTGAAGTCATTAGGCCCTGGCATTGACATTGCGAATCATGCATACCCAAAGGACTCGAGGACGCGGGCAATTCGACTGCGCTGCCGCCAGGTGGCGATGACTGGGATGTTGGAAGGGGTGCTGGAAGACCCGGCGGATGGTTATTAGGTGAAAGTACAATAATGGCCTTGGGACGTGATGAGCCAGAATTTATGGCTTGCATAATATGGGGAAGGGACGCCTCTGAGGAGCAGTCAGTATCGGATCTTTCCAATTATACTTCAGCGACGATTTCCGCGTACCTGTTGCTATGTAATAAAAGGAGGATCCTGGGTACTGAGCTGTACCATTCCACTGTTCAGTGAGAGGAAGGTTGGAGTCCAACGAGGGATAAATATTGTTCATGTTCTGTAGTTCAGGAGTGATAGGATTCGACCGAGGATAGTAGACACTGTTTCTCAGGGCGGATGAGGGGGAGGTGGCATCGAGGTCATTCGGAGTATCGTATACGGAGGGGAAGGATGGCGGAGAAGATAGGACGGGTATCGAGCCCAGAGCGCTATTGCACGATGAACAGACGACTCTTGATTGTGGGAAGTACGTGGAGCCCAAAGCCGACGAGGCATCCTGAATGGGAGATGAGGGATGTCCTTCAGTGTCGAATATTGGCGGAATTCGATCGACAGGTGACGGCGTAAGTGTGCTGGGATGGTCCCAACCGTTTAAGCTGGCTGCTGCTCGCAGCTCACTGGCAATAACGCGTTCTTGGAGCTTGGCAATGCGATCTCGGATCTTGCGCCCTGCTAACTATTAACTGACTTCTATTTAAATCTATCATAAGTGGAGATCACTCACGATGATTTCGTTGTGAGAGCCGATTCTGTAATCTCCTCCTCTCGATAGGGTCCTGCTTCTGCCCTGGGGCATCGTTGGAATTTCTGTCTTCTTTTGACGGTGGCCGCATCTTCGTGGACATTATGTGAGCCGTGTTGATTGTGTATCGGAAATTGTCAGTAGGGCCCGATGTATCAGAATGAGGTTTATGTCACGTTGATAATGGGAAATATCATAAAAAATATAGACTTCGCGCCCCAAGTCCTGGGAAAAGCGTCTCTGGTAGCGCAGCTCGGAAATAGTTTGTATCTAAAAGTGCCGTTAAGGGTGTGCCGCTCTCCTGGTAATATGGAATATTGCTACCTTCGCTTACAGAAAATCTTACACGCATCCAGTTCAGCGTGTAGGCTCAATAGATCTGGTGCTCGGAGCTTGTAGAGCATTCATATGTCGGTTTTGATTGGTTATGTCATCCGGATTTACGAGGTTTCGCAATGAGTGCAACATAATCCCGGGCAAGGCCAAGGAAAGAGGAGGCGCCGAAGGAAGTATTTGAATCCCCACCGCAGCAGGTTACTCGGCCACTTCACTATGTCCGTCGGTTCATGCTTTTCAAGCGTCTGGGTTGGACTGGCCTACTTCCCATCCGGCTTGCTGGTACTTGGCCCGTGGTTTTCTTGACCACGTTCCGCTACCAAGTCTGCAGCCTTGATCCATGTCCCACATCCTTCTTTGGTAGTAGATGTGCCCGGGAAGCAATAAATCATGGCTTTAAGGCGCGAGCAAGGCTTTTTGTGGCGCTGCTGATCATCGGGGTTAGGTCAAACAATGATCAATAAAAGGCTCTTATCCAACATGGAATTTGTCGGACAATAGAGATCGGTCCAGATCAGCCTACTGAGACCCCTCATCTCATTCGTCGCACGTACACCCCATGGCGCAACCCCCACTCATATGGGCTTCGGGCCAAGGCAGTGATTTAAGACAGTTTGACGGCCTTGCCAGCCGCGATGCACGGATACGCACGGTTGACCAGACCAGCTAAAGCGCCTGATAATATACTGTAAGCGAGCTATGCGGCAGAGGAGAGCGCGAACTGGGTGGCTTTGATGATATAAGCCTGAATACCTATATCTACTATCCTGGGGAATCCTTGCAGAACTTCTCTCGATGGGGCGTCTGTGGCCTCCAGAGCACGTAACATTGCGACGCGAGTAATTGGAGCAAATGTTACTCTTGAAACATTACGTATCGCAGGACTTAGCTACATCAGGCGGCAGGAATCAGCCAACATGATAAAGAGGAGGTATTTTATACATAGTATGGATGGTAGGGGATACTTTAAAGTACTGTATGTTGTCGGATTTGGTTTTCGGTTGCTCCAGAGAAATCAGTAGTGTACACAACTGGGAGGCAATTCTCAGACCACCAGTTAGGCGGCAAAACCCGGTCCTCAGTCAGTATAAAGCGCTATAGAGTGCGGAGTATCCTTATCTCACGTTTGGGCAATCATACCTGCCTGGTTCAGTTACCAACCCGAAATAGTAAACAGTGTACGCCATCAGGGATCTGGCCAACCAGAAAAGTTCCCGATGAACTCCATAATGCCAGATTATCATAGCGCTAATAGAGGTATGTCTTGCTAGCTGTGATCTCCGCAAAGGGCAAGAATAATGGCGGCAGGCGCTCAGTGAGTGGGTGGGCTCTGAAACTTGGAGCGCGGCGAGAGGACTGAGCTGCCGTCAGTTTTGGAATGTCGCTGGGATTCCATAGCAGAAGGACCAATCAGCCTAATCACGTGTAGGCGAGCTTATGAAAGACCAATCATGATCCCAGAGGAACAATTTGGCCGATGGCGTGGTACTGAGTCGGTTAATGTGGAATGAAAGGTCAGGGCAGTTCGTATTCAGACCGAAATCTGGACGCCAGTGGGCTGAGCATTTCTGCCAGATGATCCAGCCATTGTGCGACCACACAAGATCGGGGTGGGTCGAAAGGCGTGGAATCAGTTAGGGAATTGGATTTGGCAATAGAAACCTGCGTGTTATGAAGAGGCCTTGGAACATAACAGGAGATAGAGAATACAGCAGGAAAGGGATCAAAAATTGGAAAGAGGAAAGTTGGAGACAGGGGATCCCGTGACAGAGCAACAACAGTCACGAGCAGCTCCCCTGCGAGCTCGATTCCATTTCTCTGCCGCTTTGCTCAACAGCAACTTTACAAGACTGGTTTTCCTGCGAGTTCTGTCAGTTCTACCAGTTCTGATCTTCTCATGGTCTTCAGTTGGACCAATTAGCCCCTCCTGACGATTTTCTCGTCGAAATCGAGGACCTGCTCGTAAGATCCTGCGGGAAGATCAATAACAGTTGACTAGAAAAAGACACTGGCTGATGTGATCGATCAGAGGAGCTACTTGTGTCTAAAGTCTCCCTTTGTCTACTGTAACACACCTGACTCCGTGTCCAAGTCTCCAGGTTATTCCTTCACGGTATTCTGATCCGTTCATCCGCCCCCCCTCCGACTCCAGTACGCCCAGCTCATTCATTCGTCCACGATTGTCCACATCCGAGCCATGCTACTGCTCTTTGGTTGGATAGCATGACTGATTGCGTTGCTCTAGGACTATCTCTTAACGCGGTTTGCAGTCCCGTGCGCAACTGCCTCACCTGATTTCACCTATGAATACGTTTCGTGGCATTCGCTTGGAGAAACCTTACACTCCGTACCGCTTGTAAGGACACTATCCAAGAGGCTCTTGACAACATCTACTAAGACCAATAGGTTTATGAAAAGTCAGAAAGCTAAATGTACGCCCAATTTAACTGGCTCGCACTCTAGCACTTCCCGTTCATTCCAACTAACATCTAGAATTATTGCTCCATTGCAGGTGACAGTAACATAATGTATGGACTGTGCTTTCGGCCTGCTGCTGAGAAGACTCATCTCGCGTTTACCAAACGGCAAAGGCGGCAGTCAAAGGGATGCGTCACGTTATGAGCGCATTACAATCAGGTCCAGCCTAATTTCCTGAACATCTCTAGGCAAGGCTTGCATATACCCGCCTGATCACATGCCAGTCCTCCGTGAATACCGGCGCTTACTTGTTGGACAGAAGATCTAGTTGACGATTCCATGGAAACGGGGCGCATGATTGGAGGGGCTACAAGAAGAGGACCCTTACAAATCTTTTGTTGGCTAGGGCCTTCTTTTGGCCTCGGAAACTGACCGCAGCCTACAGTACATGCATTCGTCTGAGCCATCAATAATTGACTAAATTGTTAATAGCTATTGGCTAACATCCTCGACGGGATGATGAATTCACAAAGCCAATCTGATTGGAAATGTGTCTGTCGTACTGCCTTGCAGGAATCATTCACATACGTCATTGCATCTCAATGACTATACAATGCTCATATTGGGGATTGGTAGCATCACTCCCAACCAAACGTGATTCAGAGCCTTGAGCGATATATATCCCTTACGTAAGTAGCTTCGGAGCTAAATAATACCTGTGTATATGCTCTGCTAATCGAGGATATGCATGGGAGAGGATGAGCATACCAAGCTTGATTTATGGCCCGAAGATATCTGCACACGGACCGCGATAGTCTATGCTAACAATCATGTCGGCTTAGTAAGTAACATTACCATTAGTTAAATAACTATCTTACTCTAGTTGTTTACTGACTAGTACTTTTCTCTCATTTCGATGGCGGTAATAGCTTGACCTGGCTATGTTACTCTATTTAGGGATGCGGCATAGCAGAACTGTCAAGATACGAGCACCGGTGCTTCCGATTAAACGATCAGAGACCCAACGTCCCAGAGGACTCGATCAGCTAATTATCTGTTCTTTGAAAAAATATGACCTGACCCACTAGAAAGAATAACCATCATCATGGCTCCGTTCCGCTTTATTGACAGTACCGTGGGAAGCTTTTGCCTTTTGCCCCCCGGATGATGTGGTGTGCCCTACTATGGTGTCTCCCATCGGGGAGTGACGCATACGATCTCGCTTATGACATAAATTGGAATGAATCTCCTATAATTGAGTCAGTAAGTGAGCTGTCCCTAAAATATCGGTACCAACCGTGTTTCGTTTCATCATACCGACCCGAAGCGACCGGATGGGAGGCCGTGCACCACAAAATAAAGCTTGCGTGTCCCTGTGAGATTCCATGAATCCGCATAGCTGATGTGTCTTACGTATAGACATACAGAATTGACCAAGCTTAACTATCATCCAGCCTTGAAAACGCCAACATCCATCAGAACTCTAAATCGAAGGGTGCCGTTCAGCAACAAAACATTCGAACATTTCCAACCCAGCCAGATGAGCCTGTTTCTGCAAGCGATATGAAGCCCAGGCCATCATAACAACTTAATGAAATGCATAGCTCCTGCAATGGTCAGGGATGAGCTCTGTAAGCTTTGTTGCAATCTATGAGTAACAGACTGAGGTGACGTTGGAACTAATATATATGCGATCTAGAGCTTCTTCAACCCGCACAGCGTACGCCTCCCACTCAGTTACGACACAACAGCTCCTCAGCTCTCACGAACCTATAAGCTTCCGGGATTTTCAACTTCCTCTCCCTTCACCACCCTGCTGCAGTCATAGTCAGTGTGTCACCCGCATATCTGATATCAAGCGGAATAGTGATGCAATGATAACATAAGGACCTAGTCTGTTTATTCGACCGGCGCGCGCACACACAAACATCCGGAGCTTTGGAAAGCTGTTAAACGTTACCATGGAGCACTGCAGCAAACGGCTACTACTATACCCGTCGCCTCAAGGCTACAGTGGCGCGAACAGCTTTCTTCAAGATCTAGATTGCCACTGATCCCTGCGGTGTATCCGAGCCTCTTACGCGTAAAAGAGGACTAAGCGCAGTTATAGTGTTGCCAGTGACGCTTAGCGCGTCAATAGCTATTTTGTCTATCTTGAGCAGAGGGTCTAGATCTATGTGGTGATCCTGGAGATAATCTCATTTCATGCATGGTCTGGGATCCCTTACCTCGGCCCATCTTACCCATCTCCCCTTTAGAAAGACATTAGATGCCATGTATAGATGCTCATCTTACCACTGCATCTCCACTTCCGTGTCTATGCAGTAGAGTAATAATACCCATGAGGTATTGACTGCACTGCCTTGGATACAGTGCATGTGTGTAGGGAGCCGTGACGCCTGGTTATGCAGGATGGGCATCTTGCTTTCCACAACTGCCGTATCACAATTTTTGGTCTTCGCTTTGTGCTTATTCCTTCAATATTCTGTAACCCCAATTAGATAGACTAGAGAGCGATAAAGAAGCGACAAACAAGCCAGGTGGAATTTGCACATGGACGGACCAGATTACTACTCCGTCACGTGAGCTTCAACAAAGTAAAGGGCGTACTGAAAGTAACTACGTGCTTCGAAAGGGGATATACCTAGATGACAGTATTTCAGGAGTGTCTGGGTAGAAATAATATAATTTAAGGTGCATATTATCTTGATATGTGTATATTACTAATCACCAAGACACGCAAGCACATTTGATTACCTCCCATTTCTCACGAGCGGAAGCTAATTGAGTCAACAACATCAACCTCATAGATTACACATAATCACGCATTCTGGATATCATAGACAGGCATATGAAGGAAGCAAAAACATGCGGAATATTATATGTACCGAACAAAAGCAAAGAGCTTAGCCCGCTCTTGGGCGTGGACCAGTAATGGCAAAGAAGTCCAACGGTTTCACGGTGAACGCGCCATTGTAATTGTTACCCGCACCATCAGTGACATAGTTCTTGTCAGCGAGTTCAAACTCGACATCCTTGAGGATGCTGACGAGGGTGAAGTACGACCATTCCCAAGCGTACTTCTTTCCGATGCAAACACGCTTGCCGTTACCGAAGCCCTTCTTTACCGCGGAGGGTAGCCTTTCATATGCTTCGCCCATCATGCGCTCTGGCTTGAATGCGTCGGGGTCTTCGAAGACGGCGGGGTCGCGGTTGACACCGTACAGGACTGCGATGAGAGCCTGCTTGCGCGGCACTTCGTACTCGCCGCCTGCGAGTAGGACTGGGCCGTCCTGGTCTTGAATGGCTTCGCGATTGAAGCCGGGGGCTGGGGCGGCAAGGCGCATGGTTTCTTGAGCGATGGCAAGGCAGTAAGGGAGGCGGGAGAGGTGCTCGTGTTCAATCTTCGCACCGGGGCCGCCGACAACAGCGTCAATCTCCTCCCGGGCGCGTTTAATCACATGCGGGTTCTTCATGAGGTAGTAAAGGCCGAAGGCGACGAGGTTGGGGGCTGTCGCGCTGCCGATGAACACGTTGATGATCTCGTCAACGATTTGTTCGTCGTTTAGTCCTTCGCCGGTCTCGGGGTCCTTGCCCTCCATAAGAGCATACAGCATGTCCTTCTTGGCGGATAGGTGAGCGCGTCGGTATTCGACGCAACTGGCGGAGTAGTCGCGCAGAGTCTTGTTGTAAGCATTGAATTTGCGCTGGTAGAAAAGCCAGTTGACGAGTTTGAGTCGGGATGCTCGACGAACGGCCTCTGTAGTGGCGTTCTCCATGGCTTTGATGAGAGATGGCTCTGGGCCTTCCAAGCAGTGTAGGCGCTGGTCGAAGAAGCAGAGCATGTTGGCCGCGTGGTTGAGGCGATCCAGGTCGTTGGTGACGCTGACGCGCTGGCGGGGGCCGGCGGTCCATTTCTTGATCAGATCCGTTGATACCTCCCGCATATCCGCGAAGACCTGGTCAACGGCCCCTGGTGTGAGCAGGGGCGCCATAATGCGATGAGCGACTCCCCACTGGCTCATTTCTTTTTCATTTATCTTTGCAGTGAACAAGCTAGAGTGTACTGCTTCGCGAATTTCAATGATGGGGCCGGCCACGCATTTCTGAAAGCGGGTCTCATCGCAGATTTCTTCAAGAAGGGCGGCTCCCGTGATCAAGACGATGTCTACGCCTAGGATGGTGACTTTGCAGATGGGACCTGCGAAGCGAATCGGAACCACATCAGCGATAAAACTGAGTGAGAAACACGAGAAGACTTACGGTACTTGGCCGCGAGCTTGTTGAATGAGTTCCAAGGGTTCGCAGCATTCACATCCTTCACGTTGCCGAGGAGGAACACCCCGGGGGGCTTGGGAATTGGTGACGGCATGGTTAAGAGATTTGGGGAGACAAAGGGATTGAAAGCAGAAGAGCAGTCAGAGCCCAGGACAGCAGTCCTAGCTTATATTGTCTAAACCCACCATTCTCAACGCGAACGTGCGCCCCTGCAGCCTGTCTTCTCTCGCCCGTGCGACCTCCAACCAGGCGGTCGCTATTATGGATAGTCTGCACGAATGTGTGTGGCTGCAAATCTCATCTGAGCTGAATCTCGCCGAAGATCCCTCCGATAGTTGGCTGTCCGCTCCCTTGGGAGCTCCACCGTCGCAATCTCAGTGGTCCAGGCGTTCCATACGAGGAGCCGATCGCCGCACAGATCATGGTTCGTGGGGAACAGAGTGAGCTTCCTTGCTTGACGCGACGGCAGGAATGCCACTCACGGTGGACCAATTGTCAGCGGGACACTCGGAAAGTGAAAAAAGTTAAGACTTGAAAAGGGGCTGGCGGTGTAGTACTATCTAAGGGCATCGTTCTTCTCGGAGAGCCAATGAAGTCAGTGATTGATTATGAAAGGAGAAGTCAGTCGAGAAGCAGAAGGACCAAAAGTGATCTTGGAACAACACTAAGATCAATGAATGGATTTGTTTACTCGATTGTCTGGTGCCGTCCCGGTACCCGAGGAGCTGATCCGATCTCCACTCTTCGGTCTTCCTCCATTTAATGCCAGTGCCAGAGATTGTGAGTGACATCCCTTTGGTTTGGTGGCGTCGAGTGCCAGCGCTGACAGAAGCAAGAATTGACGTGAGGTTACACACGCTGGTTGTTGGTCAGGCATACCCAGCTGGCTGGATGGCAAAGCCGATCAATGAGGATGTGAACCCTCGCAGGCAATCACTCCCTTCCACTGACTCGATGGCATGCTTTAGTCTCTTGGGGTTCTGCAGAATCGCGGCCTAAGTGGGCGCGAAAACTAGCCGAGATCGTCAGAGATAAGCCAATCCGGCAGAAGGAACAGCTGAACTGGGTGATGGTGGTGCTGGTGGTTGGGAAGTGAGACAAGCCAAAGTTTTGAGAGGTGTCACTCTTCCCCGCCCGGGAGACTCACTCACTCGCGCGCAGCTCAGCTCGGCTGATTTTTCCTCACCATATCATCATCTCCAGACCTGCAGAGTTACTTTGAGATGACCTGGCAATACCATGCTGATACCCAAAAATTTTGTGGATGCACCTTGATGGCGACCTGTCGGATAGAAAAGCCGAAAGAGCTCACCGATTACTTGCACTACATGGGAATACGGGGTCGGGGTCCTGATCGGCGCCATGACAGCACAACTAATGGATCAACATGCATTCGATAATTTAGCTCGCCTATGAAACCTGCATCTGACTGTCATCGCCAGCACTATTCATACATCTGGTCTATCAATCAAAAATGGAACCCGCCCAGTGGTATCTCAAACGAAAGTATCGCCATACAGGGGACTGTGAATGTTGAATAAAGAACCTCTTCTGTTTAACTCCTTTGAACACCATGCTCCAAGGAAATAGTCTATACCCATAATGTCATGCGTGGTTGATTGTGGTATCAATAAGACAATCTCAGCGCGTCGAACTCAAACATCAGCTGGCTGTCCATCAGGAGAAACGACTCGTATCGGAGGCCACGTTCGCGCTGGTACGCTTCGGACCACACGGGGACGCTGCTGTTCCAAACGCTGCCATACCCCTCGAAAAGTCTGCGCCAGTAACAGGCCTCGGCTGCTTTGGTCAGGTACCGCTCGCGGAAGGTTCGCACGCTGTTGTTGGCAATCCGCTCCGCAAGACTGGGGTCGGCCAACAGAGGTTCAAGCTTGTCTGATAAGTCGCTGAAATCCCGCTCAACTTCGACATAGTTCTGCTGCGGCCCGTCTGGTACGAGAAGGTAGTGGTGGTGCTGGATATACTGCAGCTTATGCGCCACAATGACCGAGTTGCATGCTTGCCGGTACTTCAGTGACGCAGAATACGAGCGACCTGCATCACACATCCCAGTCAGTACAGATGCGGTCGGGCATCGCTAGCATTTAAGAGCAAAAGCTTACCTTCGACATGAGCGATGAACATATACTGACAATGATCCTCCATGGGTATTATGTTCGTCCTCTGATCCCAGTCGACCTGCTTCACGTCCCCCCATGGTTGATCTCGCGCAGCTTCCATCAAGGCGCGGCGCAATTTGGGGGCAAAGCTAGGCTTTCCTCGCCAGACCAGCTGGGGTTTCTTCTCTGACCAAGGGATATCCGCGCGTTTAATGCGGTTAACAACTTGGTCGTACGGCCCGATCGAATTCTGAATATTCTCCCAGGCCCAGAACCCGAAGTCAGGCATTAGCCAGACAGCCTCCTCCGTGGCGGATCGTGCCAAGGTCCACACAGGATGGTCGGAGTTCGTCACGTCTTCCACCTTGTCCTCCACGGAGAACACAAACTCGATATCTCGTTGCGAGGTACGATTGGCATCGGCGACCAACGCCCGGTGAATTGAACTCAGTACGGCGACGATCTTACGTCGATGGTCTTCACCTTTGGACCGCGCCGCGACCACATAAAGCTCGCCGGCGTGGATAAACGCCCGCGCCATGCCATATGCTAGAGGAATCTCGTCCAAGTCCTCCATAGCCAGCGCACCCTGAGACTTCCAAAAGCCCGTGGCGCGAACAACATCTTCGAAAAGACCGGGGAATGCATTCGTACACTGGGCACGATCAAGACCTTCATTGCTGCTGTCTCGAGCAGGTTGAAATTCCCATGCCGGAGCTGGGGACAGTTGTTGCACCAGGCCCGGATGTGAACATGTCAGACAGCTGGCGCACTGGAAAGTGGTGGAGGTTTGACAGGCGCAGTGTCCGGCGGGGATCAACTGGGTCAACAGTGGGTGAACATAGTCGCGATCGGTATTGACGCAATACCAGATAATGATGATGCACAAAAAGCTCAGAAAGCCTGTGATGTAGAAGAGGCAGAGATGATAGCTTTGTCGAAGGCGCCAGCGAGAGCAACCGGAGAGCGCCATCGCGAAAGGGCAGACGAAGAGAGATGAAACTGGGTGGAAATGGATCGCATTGTAAGGGCAGTCGCACCCAGGTCAAGGGGAAGAGGTGGAGAAAGCGCCGAAGGGGACGGGCGCACTTTGATGGCGTCCATTGTGTGCGTAATATAGCTGAGCGGCAGTCGTCAGGGGAGTGTCGACCCTGAATGGGGCCGTGCATGGGGGAGAAAAGGCAAGAGAGTCGAGGGCAACATCAACGCATGACGCGGCGATCGCAAAGATTCCCTGGTTGTTCGTGGCTGAAACACTTGTCGCTGGCCGATCTTTCCCCGGTCGGTTGGCGGTACTCACATCCTGATCGCTCTTATTGGCTTAGAAACTCCCTACCCGTCGCCATCCCTTGGTGGTTTGATGGCCAGCTTCTATAAATTGCGATGTGATCAGTGCTAAGCCTTTCCCTCTCATTCATTCCCACATGTTTTATTTCCTTGGTACTCAGTATTAAAATTGTTTTACTCTCCTGAAGCGAGAGAACTCTACCCCGGGGGGGCCTGGCCCCCAATCCCTTGATTCTGAAACCAGAAGTTGCACAGGAACTGGGCAAGTCACTTAGTAACAAGTCCCGCCTGAGGCGGTGCAGCTCTGCTTCCCGACAGCGTTTCCCTTCCCACGATGATCCCGATGATCACAAGCGGGTTGAACAACTTACCGGGAGGTTGCAAACGCCCGACCTGCCTCTCCTGACGTTACTTTGGCGACGCGAACACTGGCCTCTGTCGTACATATTAGTGCAGTAGCCACGATGAACTATCTTATTGACTTCGGCGCAAGTCATGGGCTGATGACTGCATGAGACCTTTTGTGTGGGGTTACTCAATCAGAGCCGCCATGAGCATGTGTCGCAACCGTTAACTGTAGGCTGTCAAGTTTTTGACTACCATGTGCAACCCTACCCCGTACTCTATATACTCCAACTGATATAGGGGATATAGATAGATAATTTCTGAGACCCCAGCGCTAAGATACTGTGATCTGTGGGCTTTTCAGGGGAATATTTTAAGGAGACGGACAGCCTCACAGTATTCTCTTCGCAAATCATGCCCATCCCAGTTTAAGCTCTAGGATGATCGGGGGCTGTTGACAATGTAGGTTTAGGCAATTGGATACGTTAGAAAATCTACCCCCTTTGCGTGTGCCCGCAGCCTTGAGTTTCTAGTATTCGACCGATATGCACCTAACTTCGACGGACTCGAGCTACGAATGCACAAAGCGACGGAGACAGCTCAATGGATTGCTCGCTTGCTCACTTCTCGTGCCCGCCAAGTCACAAGCTGACGTAACAACAATATCGATCCCAGCCGTTTGCAGCTCAACGCAACTCAGCTGGCCTTCTCGATTGATCTATTTTTCTCATCCACGGAAAGGGCCGTGGAGAAAGCACGTCGTGTTGCCCCAATCAACGGCTCCACTCTATCCCGCCTTGGTGGGGTCACTACAAGACACCGTCCCCAGTCCGCGGCTTGCATCGCGGGATGCCCTACCAAGTCCATCGTCTAGCGTCCATTAGACTATCCAAGATTCGTCGCAGTTCGTCCGAGCCGATCTTTCGACGACGTTACTAAGTATGTTGCCTAGGCGGGCAGTGTTTGTGCCCTGCCACTATCTATTCATTTGGAGCCTCATGAGCAAGGCTGGGGCACGCCTTACCGAGGTTAACCGTCGCATAACAGTGTCATAGGATCAAGGCTATGGCAGAGCATTGCATCATATGCGGAGTTTGCCCAGTGTTGACGCGGTGTGAAAATTACTCACCCAGATCCCTTCGTTTATTTATAAAGACAGGCCAACTGAGCAGCACAAGGGATTTTCTGCTCGATGGTGCGGCTACAACAGCAACAGGGCTGTTAAAGCTATCCACAGGCGATAGATCTCTCACATGTGAATTGACTAACTGCTATACTAGTTACCTACATTCCGTTAGTTCCCCTATCTAGTAGTTAGGCAATCTCCTGGCACTCAGGTTGTGGTCTACTAGATCGATCCACATCACCCTATCTGCTACATTTGCTTTGCGTACCATCAACAATGGAATGCACTATTTTATTCTTGGTGAGAACAGCACCAAAACCACAGCCAAAAACAGCACACGGCAATCAAAATAATAATACCAAAAAAGATAGAAAGACTAAATATCAGAAACCAGAGCATACCCCTCCATAATCACATCCGGGGAAGAGGAATGAAGCCATGAAAGAAACAAACACAAAAGCTTCAGTATCCATCGTAGGTGCCGCGAAACATATTTTAAGTCCTTCGCGCGAGGTTTCGGTGACTTCTGGATGAATGTCTTTGAGGGATTCATGAAGGTAGGCAATGTCTTCAGCGGAGGGTGGTCGTTTCAGTGTAAGGGTCACTTTCATGGTTGCGGAGTGCTTATGACATAGTACTATTAGTATACTAGACCATTAAATGTAGACGGTGGAGATTACTAATATAGGTAGGCCGCAACTGCGAGTCAAGGTAATGCCTGCTCACAGGCAAATTATCGCACATGTGAACATACTAGCACATACACTGATTCTTTCAGGATCTGTTAGATTCCTTGCGCTTCACAGTGGATCTGTGGTTACAAGTATAACTAATGATTTGTAGATCATTGATCTATTGGAAATTGAACAACTATCACTCAAACCACCTCGAACACCTAATGAGCAAACGTAAGACGCACAATACTGATAGAAGAATGCCCAGCATATATCTGAGGCTCATTTTGAGTTTATCTAGGGGAATAGCTGGCAATCCAATCTCAAGTTACTAAGTTAATTGGGTATTTCTGTGCCTTCTATGTCATACCTCCGCTAAAGAAAGATGGGTGAGCGAGTGGAGTGACTAAAGTGAAATGACTACGTCAATCCATCTCGTTGGAGCTTAAATACTATAGACTATCGATCCCTCCCTGTATCCCCACTAAAATAATTGACTACTACTACCCAAATTGTCCATCGCTGCATCAAGACACGTCGAGCATGTCGCGGAGCTGGATCCCAGAACGCAAGTAACGTTAAGGAATATTTTTTTTTAATTAACTAATCGCATATTGATTGCCGATTATCCTCCTATCTTAGCTTCTACATTGGCCTAAACTTATCGTTACTACAGGCAAATAAGGCCCAATGCAGCTGGAATGAACCCGGGGGAGACTAAAATAAATCATATGGGTTGGATGGGGACTCTTTTTACACTCTAGTCACATGCGATAGGATCTTTCATTCCACCGCTAGGGGGGCAGTTGCACAACAGTAACATACTAGTAGGTAATGTAGATCATTTTCAAATGGTTGCCATAAGCGAAAAAAGGTTTTGGTTGGTCAGACTGAATACAGATATATGAATACAGATAGGTACTTATTGTACTGCTACTACTTAGTAGTAATGAAGGGGGTTGTTAGCACGGCATTCAGGTTCAATTGTGATGATACCAATTACTATGTCGGCCAATCCCTTTCCACCATAACACTCGTAACCCCAAGGCTCTCTAATCCGAATGTGCAAAAAGCAAAAGAAACGAGAGAGGGGAGGAAGTGGCAGAAGAAGAAGAAGAAGAAGAAGAAGAAGAAGAGGTGGAGGAGGAAGAGGATACCTGTGAGGGGAAAGATAATATCTACGACCTGACAAACACCACTCTATTGTAAATCTATGGTATCGAGCAACGTCTACTGTGGCACTCCCTCCGCATCTCAATCCAATACCGGAGGAAAAAATCCTGTTCGTTCTAGCATGCAAAACCCAGATGTTGCTGCATCCTAGTAGCTAAAGCCGTAACGAAATGCTTTCCTCTACAACGGTATCCCCCGGTTGACTCGCAGCCAGCGATTAGAATCCTGACATCTAGCCCTCTGCTCTAGAGCAGGGTTCACCTTTTCCTCATTTGCATGTTACATCCGTCCGAACCATGTCGATCATCATCGGGTTTCAAATTGGAACAATAATAATAATAATAAAAAAAGGCCAAAAAAGGACGAAATCGATAGAGAACATCACTGTCAGATATCATTGCGTATGTGCTTGGGTGACTATGAAGTCTGACACACCCCACCTGTCAATTGCTCCGACACTAAGTAGTCAAACGAGCGAGCCATACGCCGGCTCCACTGACGGCATAGAGGATTGCTGCCAAGAAAAACGGCAGGCCCATGGCCATCCCGCCGGTCTTGATACCAAGGGACAACATGTACGCCATCAATGGGGCAGCTGCCAGGGAGCCCAAGGCATCCAGAACTGTGATCGAGGTATAAAGCAAAGTGACGTTCTCCGGTGGAATAGCACCTGTCAGATATGATTGTACCGACTGACGAAAGCCAGAACCCATGATGAAGATCAAGAGTCCTTCCATGCAAGTGAGTAACCGAGACTCCGAACAAAAGAAGTGAAGAGGCAATGCTTACCTAGAATTAACACCACAGAATGAGGCGCCAGACCCATAAGCAGAGGCCCCACAACAAGAAATACTGTGCTTCCTTTTGCCATGCGGAGATCGGCACTTGCTGGGTTCCGGCCAGATGCTTGCACTAATGCCCTGTGAGCCCCTGGCAAGACCGCACATGCCAAGATGATATGCATTGCAGTTTCCAAGGATAGTAGATAACCGCTCTGCAATAATGGTCAGTGAATGATGGTCCAATCCTTGGTTGGGGGGTGATTTCTATGTACCTGTGCGACCGTCCAGTCAAATCTAACCCTCATATACTGAACGATGAGCTCTTCGACCTGCCGACTTAGTTTATTGACCATAAAAGCAAACAGAAGCGGAAGGAAGCCAGTGGGGGACATGAGGAATGCAAAAAGCTCTTGTGCGTGCGTCACTTTGCGCCCTTTTGGGGCCGAGCTATCTTGAGTTTCACCTTCGACAACCTCATCAGAGTCCACAGTATCAGCTGGAGGCTCTGAGTTGGGCAAGAGGTATAGACATAGATACCCTGTCAATTCGAAAGGTGTTCCAAGCAGGTATGGAACATCGGGCCCGAATCGCGACAGAAGCAACGAGCTCAATGGCGTAGATAAGAGTCCAGAAATCATCTGAGAGACAGCCATATAGAAGAATACCCGGGTGCTAGACGAATGTCAGCCTGTTATGAAGATCCTGATAGCCGAGGAGTGGATGACATACCGACTGTGTGGAGATACAAATGATGAGACCATTGCAAGCAGGATGGTAGAGATAACAGGAGCTCCTCCCCCTATGAACCGAATACTAGAGTATGCGGCGATATCCCAACCGGAGAATCGTTGAGAATAATGACCTGTAATGTTGGAACATTAGCGATATTGCTATGGAATAGTTTAGTGCAGACCTTACAAGCGAACCAGAACCAGATGTTAGATAGTATCTCCCCCCCGAGCCCGAGGATCACTACCAGCTTTCTCCCATATCGCTGCGCTAGGAGCCCGTAGGGGATGGCGAGGAGTAGCCCTGATCCGGGTCAGCGATGTAAAGAACCAGAACATTCATATGACGACAAAGATGGGGATTTTACAGGTTTTTGCGTACCTGGGAGTGCCTCTGCAAGTCCTAACCAACCCCTCAAGACAGCTATTTCACTTTGAATCTCACGTATTTTGCAGCGCCCTTCTAGAACGGAATTTTCCGTAGATATATTGGAAGGGCCAACAAAACGATAATAGGACCGACATACAGATTGTTCGAGTAGCTGATTAGTGGGTGCAATTCGCAAAGAAGAAGCAAAGTCAACGGCGATAGTAAATGCGGCACATATCAGTAAGGCGTAAATATTGGAACCGCCCCCTTTTTGGTGCCGAGGATTCTCCGAGATAGCATTCCCAAGTAGTGGAGTAGCTGGAGAGGGTTCTCCGTTGCTCGTCGTTACTTCAGCTCTGGACATATTGCGCAGTCTGGTGTAGGGAGATAAAGGAAGAGATGCAGCAGGAAAGGGTCATAACTATTTAATCCAAGGACAGCTCGATCGAGATCCACCTTGATGGATTGGGATGGTGTCCAGTTTTCCAAGAATAGTAAATCCGGAGTCCGCCGGGTAATGGCATATCCAACCAATGAGATCATGGGCGTGCTTATCTCTTGACGCCTTGCTTACTTTGCAGGGCTACGGAGGAGTAATATCGGTGCCAAGCTACCCAAATTAACCCCAAGCATGCAGTAGACAATAGTCGTGCATGTCGGGCCTGGAATCGATTTAACACCCTGACTGCAGTGAGTGGTCATGATGATATGTGATAATGTGATACGTATTCAACTGAGGTAGTCGAAAAGAAAAAACCATGTCAAGCTTGGAGCTGAGGAACTCGATCGATGCATGAAGTCACTGACGTGATTCGCCGACATTCTCACGATTGTGATCTTGGAATGATCTACCATGATTAATCATGAAAGCCTAAATGGATATTCAGCCGAACGACAGCCTTCCAACCTATGTATACACAGGATACAATTATTGTGGTATCAGCACAGTTCTGCTTTATCTGAAACACACGCTTCCTCTCCCTGATGTGAAAGTGCAAGCATATGCCACCGATATACACTATGATATTATCACTGCTCGTCCCATAGCTCCTTGAACAGACTAGGCCTACTGAGCAGCTCTGCTGGCCCCCCAGTTTCCGCAATACAGCCATCCTGCATAATCAAAACTTGATCAAAACCCCGAATACATCTCAATCGATGCGTCACTGCAATCACGGTCGAATTCTTGAAATGATCCTTTATAATATGAAACATCAACCGCTCCGTGTCATTATCAACATTGCCGCTGAGTTCGTCGAGAACAAGTATCTTTGTTCTAGCCTGGAGAAGAAGAGCTCTTGCCAGACTCAAAAGTTGGCACTGGCCACGCGAAAAGGTCCCGGCATTCACTTGGAGATCAAGAGAATAAGGTCTGCAGGTACGTGGATCTTCTCCTAGGCCTACTGTATCCAGAGCGGAGAGTATGGCGTCATCGGGGAACCGCTCACCGAAATCAAGATTGGAGCGAAGTGTTCCTGGCAATATGAAAGACTCTTGAGGAATCACAGTAATCCCAGCTCGTAGACTGCGACAAGAGATGTCGCGCAGATTGATATCGTCAATGGAAACAGAACCAGATGTGGTATCAAGAAGCCGGAAAAGAAGAAGGACGAGAGAGCTCTTGCCACTCCCACTCCGACCACAAATTGCTACCTTGGCACTTGGATGAATGGTCAGAGTAATGTCGCGAAGTATGCACTTATGTGGGCTTTGTTGCCCCCCATAGCCTGCATAGACATGTTCGAATCTGATCGATCCACGAGATGGCCAGTCCTCGCAAGGCGTTTGATAAACATCCACACCTTGGGCATCTTCTTCCGGAAGAGACTCTTCAAAACTCTTAACACGAACGATCGCACCGAGGGTGGTCTCCAACTGTGTCCAGGAGGTGATAAGATATGACAAGCTGCTGCTGAAGCCTATGATGTTGAGAAGAGAAACTGCAATCGCACCGGTATCAGTTGATGAGCCTAATGTCACCGCCACCGTGACCACAACAATGGCCAATCCAGCTGCCGCAATATCCAGCACGAAATTCAACCATCGCTGTATGCAGAAGAACGCATAATAAGGCTGGATTGCCCTGTCGGTCAATTGACGGCAGCGTGTCGCCCATGTCTCTTGCCACCCGAATGTACGGATTGTGTCTGTACCTGCAGCAGTTTCAAGGAAATGGGTATAGAGGGGGCTCTGTGCTTCTAATTCCAGTAGTCGCAGCTGACGTGAAGTGCGCAGGTAGAAGTTCTGTAAGGCATAGAACATGGCGATTAGAAATGGTACGGCAATAGCGATATATTTGTTTCCTGCAGCTATAAGCATGACCTCGGCGATCAGCGTTCCTGCACCGAAAATGGTCATGAGAAGGGCGCCGGACAACTGGTTGTCGATTTGAGAAAGGTCTTGGCTGAACCTGTTGAGAATCGTTCCGCTGTCGTGTGTGGTAAAAAAAGAGTATGGCGCATTCATTGTGGCAGTTAACAATTGGCGATGTAACCGGCGGGAGCTTTTCGTGACTAGGAAGATAATGAGGTAGGTGATACTGAGGACGGTGCCAATCAGCTGGATAACAGCGCAGACTCCGTACACACCCAAGTAGGTGCCGAGGGAATAATTGAAGTCGTGGTTGGACCAGTACTGAAGCCATACAGTAGGAAACTTCGACCCAAATACCTGTATGACTATTAGGCACAAGAAGGAAAAGGAAGATTTCCAGCCCATAGATTTCATGTAGTACTGATAGACTGAGAAATCGCCAAGTCGGCGTGGCAGATCCTGACGGGATTCTATCAGGTTGCTGTCCGTCCCCGTGATCGCAGAATGTCGTGCATTGGTAGAAATGGGTTCAGGGTCACTTTTTCCGGGGGCAATCTTTGCAGAAGGTATTTCAGACGAGCTTCCACCTCTGACGATGCCATTATCTATGACCAAAACAGCATCGGGCGAGTAAATGCGCTCTGGATCACTGCATGCGAGAATGACCGCGACTTTGTGCCTCTTGCATAAGCCTTGGGGACCAAAAGCGCGAACAGATACCTTTTTGGCAGTGATAATGTCCAAAGCACTGAGTACATCATCCATGATTAGGAGCTTTCTGCGCGAATAAATTGCCCGTGCAATAGCCACACGTTGCCTTTGGCCACCACTTAGAGCAGTCCCGCTAGAGCCAACGCACGTCCTGTCTCCTTCGGAAAGGATTGCAATATCTTCGTCGAGTGCAGTGGCATGAATGACAGCTTTATACCATTCTTCGTCACAAGAAAAAGGACCGATAACAAGCTCTCTGATCGAGACATTTGGCAACCATGGTTCTTGTGCACAATAAGCCATTCCTACATTTTCCGGGTGGGAACCAGCAATTCGAGGTACTGCCCCTATGATTCCTTTGAGTAACGACGACTTCCCGGAGCCAGTAGGCCCGGCGACGATCGTCAATGTAGAGTGATTTAGCACGATGTTTACTCCCGTCAAAATCGGTGTTGTAGTGTCTGCGTATTGGAAACTCGCATTTTGTAACGATAGACACCTCCCTCTTATTGGGAGGGCCTCGAGTTGATATTCGCTTCCTGAAACCACTCTATCCATCGTATGAAGTTCGTCGCTATTGTAGGACATTCTGGATGCTTCTACCTCTGGTAGTAGAAGGTAGTCTTGAATCCGCCTGAAGCAGCCTAGGGCAACCCCTACTTGAGTGATGCCATGGACAAAGACTTGAATGGGCTGAGTAACCAGAGCAATCAAGGCGAGAACGGTGAAAGCGTTTGTTGATGTAATCACATCGCTTCCGGAAAGCATTGTGAAAACCGTGAAAGTCAAAATGGGCCCAGCAATTTGCGGTATATTAGCTAGAAGGAGAGATAAGCAAATGATCACATGTGTGAAGAGGCGACGGAGGTGGAGGGATAGGGGATGTACCGACGACGTTTCTCCACATGAGAAGCATCCGAGCCCCCTGAGCGCGTTGAAGCTCGGCGTCGCGTAGGTCGCATATCCGTCCCTGGACGAAACTGGATATACCGAGCATCTTAATACCCCTGATTGAGCCAATGACTGACGCAGTAGCTGCTATGCGCTTCTGAACAGCCTGATTCCATATCCTCTGGCGTGAGGGTGAATGAGCGGCCACGATATAGCTGAGTGAGACTGCTGCCAGTGTACACCCAACTGATGCCAAGCATGCCCATTTCGCTTGCCTTTCCAGAAAATATATGGCCAGACCGACCTCGATTGGAGACGCGAATAGAGCGTCTAGACGCATAAAGTTATTGCAGATACTTTCAGTGTCGGTACTCATCAATGTTAAGGCAGCTGAGTTATTGACCGTTGCGGTATCCAGACGTTGCGTCTTGTCGTAAAGCGCAATCACTAGCATGCTTCGTATCATAGTAATGGCGCGATTTAGGCCATGCATATAGAGCGATGTTGTTACCTAAACTTAGAACATTTTGTCAGCTTTCTTTTCCGTTCCTAGGTGTCATAATTGTTCAAAAGTGGAGCATACCGCTGTGCCCACATATATTAGGACTGTGGCTCCAACAAGGGCACCTCCAACACCGCGGTCTCCAGAGTTGACTGAGAGGTATTCGATCACACGGTTCAGCAATAACGGCTGGGAAATTTTCAAGCCTATCAGGCCGATTCGAGGTATTGCTGTCCATAGCAAAGTGCGTCGAACGCAAGACAAAATCGCCAGCAGTAGCTTATGTTGGCTTCCATGAGGATCCATCCTTCCTGCATAGAACGATAGTCAGTATGAACAATAAAGTATCCAGGCTATATCACATACTGGAGGCCCATTTTGCTCTGAAATTTGCTTGCAGATTCTCGGCTGCGAGGTCTGGGTCGATAGGAAAGAGATGGTTCGGACTTAACAAGCCGCGTGCCCCGCGGGCCAGCAGGGGGTTCACCCACCAAAAGACGACTCGATTTAGCATGTTTCCCAATACTTCTGGGGGATAGGCAGCAAATGGGGCTTTCAAAGTCGTTTTCTTTTCTTGTAGTTCGGCGACGAGTAATAAAAACCGAATGCCCAGCGCTGCAGTAAAGGTCCCAGCAATTGTAGGAGTATTCCGTAGCCATAATGTTCGAGCCTGGACCCCATCAAATAGCGTACTGAACATGAGGTAGGAGCAAAGCAGATGGGAAGGGGAGATAGATCGGACGTGCTCATTCCAAGAAAGCACTGGAATGCAAAGTGAGCAGGTCAAAGACAGGCAGACCGATGCCATGGTAGCTTCATTCTGGTATTGTGGGACCATTGCCCAGAGAACAAGCAAGGCAAGTTGGTTACAGACTAAGCTAATACCCAGGGTTACTTTAACCAGGATTGAGACCCTGGCATACTTGTTCGATGCCACTCGAATTTTCCCTGACTGCGGTAGGAGCTGTAGGAGTCTCCAAGCCAGCGACAGAATGAAACAGGCTGAAGGAATGATGCTAAACACCACCTGTTCAAAAAGAAGTGTGAAGTCCAAGTATCGACATCCATGAATGGAAGGCCCGAAGGTCCGATCAGCTGCTGGGCTGCACAGGGTCTCCATACCGTTAGGGGATGAAGTAACGATGCTGTAGGAATACCGGCCATTTGCTTCAGGATGAGCCGCTGAAGCGCAGATTAAGCAAATGGGCACCACAAGCATTCGGATAAGTTAAGCGGAGCATAGCCCCGCGTAGCTGATAGAAGGGTAGCATCAGCTGTCCTTGCGCTAATATATGAGGCGTATCCTGCATTACTAGTTGCATGCAGAACACCAGCAAATTCTTATCAGGCCACTGTTCCACCAATGAAAGAAAACGGTGGAAAAGCGGAGTCCGAATGACTGATAAGCGTAGCCCAACCTTCTGGGATCATTAGCACCGTCGGTGGTCGAAGCTCAGTTCTGGCCAAGAAATCGTTTCGACGTTCCTCTCAAATTCGGATCATTACAATTCCCACCTTACCGCCGTCCTCTTCCCATCTTCAAATACTGCCTAGCAAATACTCTGGTTTGACCCAGGTCAGCCAGGTCAGCCTCCACGTTTACCGCAATTAATAGTCAAGATGACCTCGCCAACACTTCATACATGATTGATAAATGGATTGTTAGTACATTTTGGGCCCCACAGTATATATCTTATCTGCCATACTGTGACATGTGACTATATGCCAATAGGAAGGGGAACACTAAGGCTGATGCGCTATGAACTGTGTCTCAAACTAATAATTAGAAGCAAGCAATTGCTTGACAGGGGTAGTTACCGATACACAGCAAGTCGCGCCGTCCTGTTAAACGGACGTGGTTCGGCCAATTGAGCTCCGGCCTCATTCGAGGGGCTTTAGGCGCCTCCAGGGTTGCGAAGGGTCATATAATATGCGGCTATCCTCCTGGTTCCCCATAGACTTTAAACTTGTTAATTCTATGATTTGAGTGACTTTAAAATGGAGAATTATGCTGAACGAAGAAGAATACAAAACCTCAATGCACAGCGAAAATGGCGTGAGTTCGCCGGGTGTCCCAAGCCCATTGTCATGACACCTGCTAATTGCCCGCTCAGGAGAAAGGAAAAAGGGCAGTATTAACCGCAGTTCAAGCACTCCGCGTATTCAAGATTCCGGATATTGCGCCCAGGAAGTCTCGGTTCATTCTTGTGAGGGCCAGCAACGCGAAAGAGATCGAGCGCTGGTGCAGGGTTCTTTTATCTCGTATAATGCTATTGACGCTGCCAAGAATACACCGTGTGAGCCTAGTGTAAGATCCTTGGTATCACCGGTCCTAGGCCCTTGCGTGGGAAGCCGGATTGGTATGTCGTCTGCCGCACGCTGATGAATTCATTTTCAGGGAAATCGATGCTCCATCCCGTCAGATGTGCCATTTATGTCTTCCGAGCCAACAATAGCTAAAGTCCCGGGAAAGAGTGGAATGGACGGTCTCGGTATTCAAGGAAACACAAACCAGGCCCTCGTTAACTGGGAGAACCTGGTGACAGATTTCGATGGGAGTAACGCACCAAGCGCGATACACATACAGCGTAAGTGATGTCAACATCAGTCCCTGTTTGTAATATATAAGGACCGCCTTTGACCATCGTTGTCCCAGATGCATCTGACTTAGAGTCAATGGAGCGGGCAATCGGAATTCTCCAGAAGCAGAGGCAGACCTTAAACCAAAGGGCGGAAGAAATATTTTCAGAGGTAATGGATCTGTACAAATATGGAGTCCTACTTGAACTGTTCCAGGAAGATCATACCTTCCTGCATCAACTTGCAGCTACTAAACAGCATTTTCAATGTCTCACCTAGAATTAGAGTTATGGATGGCATTTCGTTAACAGGATTGTTTTCTTTGAATCCTTCGACTGCACCATGCGTTTTTACGGCCAATCAAACAAATCTGCGACGTCATATTTAATGAAATGTAACAGGTAAATCTGTAAGGTTATGACTAAATGCACTACGAATGCCAAAACATCGATCAGCTCAGTAGCTAGACAGGAACAAGTACCATCACGACTAGATGGTCCGTATACCAGTCGGGTGGATCGGATGACCAATGGAGATCGCCATCCATCGCCGGGCCCATGGACGGTCCCAGCACCTCCTTAATGAAGTTCGGGACCTTAGCAAGTCCTAGGGAATTACATCCTGCAATGTCTGGAAAAGCGGCTGATAAGGGAATAGAAGGACGGCGATGGTCAGAGCCTGGGCCACCTCCAGGACGGCGGGGAAAGCATCGAATAGTCTGTTACAGAATCAACTGCAGGACCCAAATGATTGGTTAAACAGAAAGGTATGGTTTCTGGGCCAGCTTTATTACGCATTTTTGGGGTCTTCGGGCACCGGTAGAAGCACTCTGGTCTGTATGTCTGTGTTCCCACCGAGCTGGGCATTCTCGGTCACAACGTTCCATTGCAATCCCCTCCATTAGAAATAGCCCACCTATTTATGATGTAGTCCATTCAATCCTACAAAGGCTCCCCAATTTTCAATTCCAAGGCTTTGTTATGAAACCCAGCATTAGGACTCGTCGGGCATGCCCCTCATATGGTGTGTTCACACTTAACACCCCCAAGGACTTGACCCGGTCGATCCACCACCGATGCAAGCTGACAGCCATCCATACTATGATCGAGAAAGCCTTTGCCTCAGAGACTGAGTGGCTGCATCATGTTTTGGAGACCTCACAAATTATGTGCAAGATGTGCCGGCACCCGCGCTCCGGATCCTCGTAATCTTCCGACCGTACCAGCCATGGGTGTTTGAAAACTGCATTGTGTTGGAGTTAGAGAATGCTCAATACTTTTCCCGCAAGTATCTTAGCTCTAATGAGACACAGGCCCCATCGAAGTGCTGGAAGCTTCCCACCCCCGCGGTGCCCTAAAAAAGGTAGATATGGCGGTGCGAAACTACCACTTAAGCGCCTTGAGGAAAGTTGATGCTGTGACACTCAGCCTGCATTGCTTGACTTCAAGGCCGATGTTGACAGTGTCAGAATTAACTATAACTTATGGACAATAATTCACTGATTCATTCGGTAGGACAAAACTATAGACGAGTACAAGTCCATTGGAAGGAGGAACATACATACAAAATCCCTCAAAACTATCCAATTATTCCTTCGCAAAAAAGGAGACTCGAGATTATTTAAAGACAAAAGATGGTGATACCATACTAGCTGAGCACAAAGAGGTAGAGATAGATTCGCGGGTTAGAGGAAGGCTGATCTCCTGCAATAGCGAATCATAACTAGATATACCACCTACACAGTAAGAGACAGCCAGGACTATCTAGAATCAGCTCGCGAATCACGAAACGCTGGTCGACAGTGGTTACCAAACACGGCCCCCTAGCATTCCCCATAAACACGCACAACCTTCCAACTGTCAGGATTATCAACATCCAAGCACGAAACACTGCCGCCATTCACGCTTGTAAGCAAGTTTCCAGAACAACCGGCATCCTCATAAAGGCACAATTTGAACTCTCCGCCACCATTGAATGTGTACCGAGTGCAACCAGCGGCAGAAACCGACGTGCAGGCATGCGTAGAAGAGCTTCCAGCCGAGGTCTCTCCCCTTCCCCTACAAGCCGTCGATGCAGAGTAGCATTGAAATTCCCACTTGGTTTGCAACATCGTCGAATCTAGGGTGCTGTTGTTGTTGTTATTGTTGTTGCTGTTGTTGTTGTTGTTGCTGCTGCTAACGGTATCGGATGGTAGTTCGGATAGCGGAGAGGCAGAAACGTTGCCGAAAAGGGTACCGGAAACGAAGAGGAGAGAATACATTAGATATCGGACACCAACGCGTAGCCCTCCATGATTGAGTCCGGAGAGTAAAGCCATGACAAGAATAGATCGACAAATTCTTCGACGTCGGTGGTAGGCGCTGCGAAACAGATGCTAAGGCCTTCGCGGGAGGTCTCCTTAACGTCGGGATGAATAGCTCTAAGGGAATCGTAGAGGAAGGCGATGTCGTCGGCGGAAGGGGCTCGCTTGAGTGTCAAAGTAACCTTCATGGTTGCAGAATAGTTCGCTATTACCCTTTAAGTAATGTTGTGGATGGATTCGAAGATTCGAAGACTGGTGTGTTACTGGAGATAATAGAGGTATCAGGCTGTGAGTTGGGCTTCTTTCCTAGAGCAGAGCGGGGCAAAGCTTTTGCCACCTTGATAAAGGGATTATCTAAACAGTTGCCTAGTGCTTATGTCTTGTGAATGCTTAACCTTGATGCTTATTAGATGTACGTACTTGGTATAGTCTAATTCTGATGATCTCACAACTATTCTGCTGGGAAAGAACTTGTCCAAAACATAGGACAACGGCATAATACAATCATGATCTGATTCATTAAAGCCTTATCATCAGGTCCAACAGCTGGGGCAGCAGGATGATACTGTCCTATCTATGCAATGGCGCTTTAGCGTCGCGGCAATATTACTGTGTTGGCCACCCTGATAACTTCACGTGGCCCTCCCCTATCAGCCAACCAAGCGGTCCAGCATATGGTGATCTGAGAACTAGAGATTTCGTACCAGGCGTTATCTGCACTATACTAAGAATCATGAGCATTATCAAAGCACCGTAAGCACCGTAAGCACCGTAAGCACCATAAGCACCGTAAGCACCATAAGCACCGTAAGCACCATAAGCACTAGGATATCTTATAGTCCCCTCTGATTATGCGGCTGCATCTTGTGACATCAATGTAAATGCTGATAGCTGAAATCCAGATAGACCTACGTCCTTCATCCTGATTTCTTTGCATTCCTCCTTGTCCGATTCATCGGAAACCCGTGATAACAAGGATTCAAGCACATGCGCGATATGCGGAAGCACCACTGAGGATTCACGAAGGAATGCATAGTCTCACCACAATTACGTGCGGTGTCCTAAGGGTCGCTGAGACTTCTTGAGCGCTGTCCAAGCCTAGTTGAGGCATATAAAGCTCAATGTGGCCCCGGTCTTCAACACCGTCATCCACAGTGACATCAACCCAATTCATCCACTTCTCTCAACTTGACTTATTGACCAAAGGACTTCCTCAATCCACCATCAATTATGGCTGCCCCCGCTGTTATGCAACCTTACCATGTGGCGCAGTATGATCATCGCGCATTCGATACCTTGATGGATGTTGACGAATCCGCCTACTACTTCGAGTCGCTTACCGGCTACGAACACCTGCGTTCCGGGCTTAGGTAAAGTGGAGCCCTCCTCCTCGCATAGAGGTTCCACGAAATAAACCGTACTAACTCAAAAGAAGAGACATTTTCATGCGCCATGGCGTGGATGATAAGCTCGCCGTCGCGTTACTTCATCGTCACTTCGAGTTGGCCTCGAATGAAAAGCTCGTGGAACTTGGACCGGTGTCTTCACCGTGGCCGATTGCTAGTCATGACGACTCTGTGTTAGGGGGTAGTATCCTCCCACACACCTGGCGAGTGTTCGAGAATGAACTCCATCCGCTTGAGTTTCGTTTTGTTGCCAAGCACGAACTACAGGATGCCAAACAGGTCCAGTTCACACGCGCCTTCTTTGAAGACTTTCGTCAATACGTGACAGCAAACGGTCTGGAAGGCGTCATTGGGATAACGCAGATCAACCACGGAGATGATGACGGCGAGAGTGATGTTCAGCTCATGGAGGTCACCCATGGCCGGAGTTCGGTTATGGTTCCTGCCATTCCTACAAGTGAAGCTCCCGGCCCTTTCTTCCAAACAGTCTGGTCCTTTGTCGAGAAGCAAACCTCGAAGCCGGACACGGATGGCTTCAAGGCCCGTCACGGCATTTGCTACAAAGCACAGTCCACAGATGTTTCTGCTCCCAGCCCCGCCGACTCTCTCAGTGATGGGGTCCAGGCTCGCCACGGCATCTGCTACAAAGCACAGTCCGCAGATGCTTCTGCTCCCAGCCCCGCCGACTCTCTCAGTGATGGGGTCCAGACTCGCCACGGCATTTGCTACAAAGCACAGTCCACAGATTCTCCCAGCCCCGCTGACACTCTCAGTGATGGGGTCAAGGCTCGTCACGGCATTTGCTACAAAGCCAACTCCAAAGAGGCTTCCAACAATGGTTCCATTGACACTCTTAAGGATGGCATCCAAACCCGCCATGGAATCTGCTACAAAGCGCAGTCCGCAGACGCTTCCAACAATGGTTCCTTTAATACTCTTGATGATGGCATCCAGACCCGCCACGGAATCTGCTACAAAGCCAACTCCAAAGACGCTTCCAACAAAGGTTCCATTGACACTCTTAAGGATGGCATCCAGACCCGCCACGGAATCTGCTACAAGAGCATGCCAATCGGTGTTTAAGCGTTCATAATCGGTAATCTGGAGCCAGCTTTGGAATTAATCGCCCATGAGGATGATCTTTCTATCGGCCGTGTTAAGAAGAACTGCTTGCTTATCATTCCACTTATGCTAAAGCGAACAGAGCCATGGATATGAAGATGGTATAGGAACATGCATTGCCGTTTTTGCTTGTAAAGCTTTACATCATATTCTGAGAGTAATATCACTGCTTGCTTCCGCTCCTTGAACTTGGAGACCGTAAACTAAAGTCAGTATGAGCAGTAGCTGGCGTATAATTACGATAAGGTCCTCCCTATATATGTTGCTTCAACTCGAGAGCGCGATCTACAATATCTTCTTATTCTATTCTGGTAAATACTCAGTCCGTTAGTTTTATATAATTTCAGAATCTTATATTGACTTTTGCTGCTGATATTTTCTCTGTCAACAAGATAAATTCTTTTCTATACAGAGTTGTATATCTGTTTTTTCATGAAACAATATGAGGATACTATTTATTATTTATTACTATAGCTACTATCCGCAACCAGCTAGAAGAATAGAAAGAATGAAGCCTAGATTAAATAGGAGATTTACAGTACAATTATTTAGTATTAAAAGTAACTTTCTTATTTCTTAAGAATAGTTAAAATATCAACTTCTAGCTCTGTACCATATTCCTGGTTGTTTGATATAATATATAATAACTGCAGACTATATAATCTTCTAGAAAAGGAACAATTGCTATATACTGTATAAATCTCAAGTTACATTTATTTTTTTTTATTTTTTTTTATTTTTTTTTTTTTTTTTCTCTTGCTCACATGGAAGTGGTGGTGTTTCGGGCCCTTTAATACACGCCGATTGGGCCGGAGAGACCCCGGCCGACCGGCGACTCCTCAATGCCGCTATGTCTGAACTATATGTAATGATTTTACCTACCGAAGAATAAAGCTTGCCTAATCTTCTCATCCTCATTGATTTGCAATCTTCCGCATTGTATTCAGACGAGATGAAGATGCTCTGTTTGCACCCGTGGTACATTGTGCATCCATTCTCTGGGAGTGTACATCCGCTAAATCCTGGGCTTAGGGGTGCATCTGCCGAGATATTCGAGAAGCAAATGTCTCTAATCTGTGCCATGATCGGCGAGTCCCACGAATATGTCTTTCTCGATGGTCCCGTATCATGTGGGCCCGCAAAAGGTACGTCGTAGTCAGTTACCAGACTCCGGCCCGGCTGTCCTCGGGCCCGTAGGGTACAATCGCTCGTTTACCATATCTGCACAAGTTACGTACGAGATGCTCACTGCCTTGCCTCTATTATTCTTCACCATAGAAATCCCCCCAAACTTGCCGGGCCCTTTCTATAATTGGTACGAGGGGCTATCCTCGTCGCAGGTGAGAGACGCGCATGATTTCGTCAAGGACGTTATTGAAGACGATGGCCCCTTTGACGGAGTCATTGGCTTTAGCCAGGGAGCGTCGCTCGCCCTCTCTATCCTCTACCACCATGAGATATGTCATCCCGACCGTCCACCGCCGTTTCGCTTTGCCATCTTCTTCTGCGCCGTGCTCTCTATTTCGCCCGATTCAATGTTGAACGCGGACATTGTTGCCAAGTACTCCCGGTACTACAAACAGGTGAACCACGATGAAGAGATTGAGAAAGATGAGACAAGAACGGAGGAGCTCCAGCGAGGAGGTTTTCTCCAGGGCAATAATAGAGCTGCCGTGACGCAAAAGCTATCGCGTCTCAAGAACCACCGCGCAATTCTACTACTCCCAGGCCAAAAGGCAGCGCTGGTAAAGGAGCTATTAGCACTCGTTCGCCAGCTGGTGGACAACAGCGCAGAGCACGACCATGCAGCGAGAACGCAATGGAATACTTGCGGCGGGATGGAGGGCTTCCCGCGCGTGTATCACCCCATGGTTAATATGCAGCGAATATCCATTCCGACGGTCCACATCATTGGCCGGTCAGACCCGCTGCGGCCGCATAGTTAGTTGCAGGCGAGGCTTTGCAATAAGAAATTGACTCGCGTTGTGGAGTTTGAGGGCGTGCATAAGGTGCCTCATCGGGTTAATGACGTGCAGGCGGTGCTCAGGGCTGTTGAGTGGGCTATGCGGATGGCGCAGATGCAGTGACATTTGATCAACTGGAATATATACGAATATTTTCATATAATCTGCTCTGTACGTAGTGCCTTGTGAGTGATATCTTCAACTCTGCTGATGAGTACCGAGATAGAGGCGGTATCTATCAAATATTTCGTGATGGATGGTCCACAGGCGGGAATATGTGGGAATGGCGGTATATCTCCCAATAGGGAGGAGATTTGGTTTATTGAACATTGACCCTCGGGCGACAGCTTTGCATTCGGGCTTGCTGAGATTCATTTTATTGGGGGTTTCAAGGCAGAATTAATGATTCGTGGCTTAATGCAACTACGCCAACTTGGTCAATAAAGTATGTCAGTGGAGCTAGTACCTCACTTGAATTCTGTACTTATGTCTCTAGCTACATGGCAAGCTCCACTGTTGAAGCTTGTGTAAACACATCCTAAGACTGCAGTGCGAATTTCCATCTCTCCTAGGCTAAACCCATCGAATTCGATGCCATTTCCTTTGGTAAAAGGCTGTAGTTGGACTGGACTACACTGCATCAACCTCCACAATCACTGACGCAATGGTAGCCTTGTCCGTAGTGATGACCTTCGTTTGGATTTCTGTGGAGACTACAGTGGTAAATCCTTGAAGGGACTGGAGATTTGCCTTCACAAAACTGACAATTCCGGCAGAGGTGAAGCCAGGCTTCTATGTCATCTGTCAGTTATCAAACCTACTCAATGTTCTAGAAGCAAGTGAAGAACGCACATCATCAACCAATCTGTCAAGATTGGCAAGAATATCCGGCTTGAGTGCCGTCACAGAGTTTGTGACTCTTGTGCTGCTCGCAGGATCAAACGTGCTAGAGGCGACGACATCGACATCGTTGATGGCTTGGCTCAAACCATCCTGCGGGTAGATCTCGGCATAATCAACGTCGACAGCTCTGTTCAAGGTTCCGTCGAAGCCATCGAGCGGGGCGCTGAGGGCGGCGATGTCGATTTTTATTCCGTACAAGTCGATGAGAATTGTGGCTGCATCGATGCTCTAGCCATTTGGGGTACGCAAGTAGGGCTGTCCCCCAATTGGCCAAATGCTAAACTAGATTGTATGAGGATAGCCTGGCACCTGACACAGTCACGCCGGGCAGCCCACACTAGCAAGGGTCCATCGCCGCAGCTGACACCTGGCCGAAGAAAGTCGCCGGTTGGCTTTCTTCCCCTCACGACAGCGTCCATCACTGCTGCGTGTTAGTGAGAGGGGTATCCCTGTCATTGAGTTTAGCAGTCTAAGCACTTAAGCATGGTTGAGGGCTTGTCTAGGCACCATCTTTTTGCCAGCCATAATATATCGTCCACTGTTCAGATGCGCCTGTATCCATCTGCGTCGTTCCTTCTACACCGTTGCACCGTCTGCTTGGGTAATCATTATGGGTTCTGAGGTGGCCACGGCTACCGGCGAAGATGTGTCTCCATCCTTTGAAATTCCGCGCCCGACAATTGCAACATGGAGGCTGGTGATTATTCTTCTTTGGTGAGACCACAAGAGAGGCTTCGCCCGCGCCATGAGTGACGGAGTACTGACGATGAATTCCCGCAGCATTGCCATCGGACTGTTCTTGTCTTTGATGGATACCACCATAATTTCGACAATGCTATACACGATTTCCGACGAATTCGATGGATTCAAAACCTGCTCGTGGATCGTCCTGGCGTACACCCTGTCCTATGTTGGTGAATATTCACCTCTTGCTTTGCTCTGCCCAAGACACCTTCAATTAATACTATTTCAGGATGCGCCGTATTCATGGCAAGATTATCTGATGTCATTGGCCGGAAATTCCTCCTCTGCATGTGCTTACTGATCTTCCTCGGCGCGTCGATGGGATGTGCAGCGTCCAAAAATATGAGCCAGCTCATCGGCTTCCGTGCGATGCAGGGAATCGGCGGATCGGGGCTGTACGCGATGGCCATGATTATCTATCCCGAGATCAGCCCCCCTCCTTTACTCCCCGCAATATCTGGCATCATCGGCGTGGTTGTCGCCCTTGCTGGGATTAGCGGGCCGTTGATCGGGGGCGCCCTGACGAGCTATCGTACCTGGCGCTGGGGATTCTGGATAAAGTATGTCCTTGCAACAGCTCAAGAGATGCAGATGAAGAAAATTGTCTAATCACGTTGTCTAGCGGCCCATGTGCGTTTGTTCCTTTGGTCACCCTCCTACTCGTGTGGCCCAACGATTTCCATTTCGCGAAGAATGTTCGTTTCCGACATCTTGACTATCTCGGCGCACTTCTCATACTTGTCGGATCTGTCCTGTTCGTCTTCATCTTGAATGAAGCAGCCATCAGAGCCTATGCGTGGAACAGCGCCCCCGTGATTATCGTCCTCATCATCTCCACACTGTCTTGGGGAGCGCTCGTCTACTGGCAGTGGGTCATCTTGTCCAAACCGAAATTCAAGCAGATTCGGCCTCAATTGCCGTTCCGGCTACTGTCTAGCCGTGTCATGGTCGCCGGCTTTGTGTGAGTTTCTTTGGAAGCGATCCCCCGATAATTTAAGCAGCACCCCACTGACGGGCCCGCAACAGGAGCACCATCCTGACCGGATTTGTCATGCTTTTGGTCATCGTCAACATCCCCCTGCGCGCGCAGATTGTCAACCTGAAGGACGCGGTCGCATCTGGAATTCTGCTCCTCCCGTTGATGGCAGGCACAGCCGTCGGCTCTGCGATCGGGGGGGCTGCGTCTGCGAAGAGAAACAATGCCTTCTGGACGCTGAACCTGGCGAGCATTTTCATGGTAATCGGAAGTGCCTTGCTCTCGACTCTGACGGACTCGGTAGACCCTGCACCGAGGCAGTGGGGATTCGAAGCGATCCTGGGCTTTGGCATCGGGTTGAGTCTCTCTACAATTACATTTCTTACGACGATGCAGGTTGAGTTTCAGGATCATGGTACGAATGTTCCTGTTCTTTTCTTCCAATGCGTATATCGGCTGCGGTATTCAAACAAGTATTCCTCGATACTCGTCCAAAATTCAAGAAATGAAAACTAACTTTTACCCGCTTCACAGCCGTCGCCCAAGGTATCGTCGCCCAACTGCGCATTTTCGGCGGAAGCATCGGCATCGCCTCGGGCTTCATCGTCTTCAACTCTAACGTCCAGCACACGCTCGCCGGCGTTCTCACACCCGAGCAACTGGATGAATTCTACCGGACCCCCGCCGCGATCTATCGGCTCCCCGTGCGTCAGCAGCTTGTCGTTCGCCAGGTTTACGTTAGCACGTTCAGTACCGACATGCGAATCTGTGCGGGTATCGCGGCAGCGTGCCTCGTTGCGACGCTGTGCACGTATCAGCGGAAGCCGCAGTCAATTAAGCAGCGGCTTGCAGATTTAGAGAAGGCGTATGCAAGGACTGAGATGGCTAGGGATGAGAGGGCTGCGTGAAGGGTTAAGGTTGAACGGCAACTAGGGAGCGTGTCCTGCTGTGGATACTAGAGGGGGGGATATAACAAGAATACTGCAAAGGGATGGTAGTTGAAAGGCTTCCACTTGCATCAGGTCGGCAATTGAAGGATTGGTTTTGTCTTTATATTTTTTGTTTCTCATTTGTAGCATGTTGCCACTGAGAATTATGAATATTATATCCTTTCGAGGACGCCCCTGCCAGTACGTTATTAAATTCACATTGTAACAGCGATGACTAAACATGCAAGCATGTATGAATCACGTGAATTACCCAGCAACACATCAGTGTCAGAATAACAATACATATAGAAAACCCGTATAGCCACTGCCTACAACTGAGCTGTAAAGAAGGTCTACAGTTCAACATTCACAAAAAATATCTCATTTTCAATAGATATACCTATCCTTACCTATGTTACTACTAAGATAAACCATTCAGAGAAGAATCGCATTGGAATCCTCTCCGGCATGGATCGGACATCACCGATATAGACTACAAGACACATTCCTTCTTGCTCTCGGGCTCTTCTTGCCCCCTCAATGCCTCGGTGTCTTTTCCTCAATGTGACCTCTCTGTGAAGGCGCCCTGATCTGTGGACCAGTTCTGGCCAGTGAGCTCCGGTGTTTGGCGGCAACATTTAAATCCCGGGCAGAGAGATCTCTGAACCCGCCGCTGTCGGAATTAGATAGACTTCAGCGAAATGGCGCTTGATGTGTCAAAGCTCAGTCATTATTTTTTTCAGTCCGTTTCTACTCTTCTAGCGGAGGAAAGTGGGCGGTTGGATGGCGCTAAGAGATTCCTTCAGAGACCTACCAGGCGGCTTCCAACGTTGGTACTGAGGCTAACACGAGGTATGAGAGATCTGGATATTGGCGGGCTCTTAGAATAGAGCCAGTAGATTGCAGGCCTGTGCCGTATGCTGGAGTTGGAGGCGGCCTAAGCACTTGTTCATGGTCAGTCTATAAATGCCGAATTGAGTCGCATGGCACCACCACCTAGCCCCGTTAACGCAGTCAGCTCTCTCTCCCGTGGGTATCATACCTGATTCAGTATCTATCCCATCGCCACTTACTCCACCGTAAGTGGGACATCTTGAATAACGCGAATAGTCCCTTCTATCACCAGGGTCAGCTTCCATACTCCAAACATGGACGACAAATTACCACCGATTGCCATCGTCGGGATGAGCTGGCGCTTCCCGGGCGAGGCCCAATCCGCCAGTGGATTTTGGGACATCCTGCGGAAGGCGAGTCGGCCAAGACTCGGATCCCCGTTGATCGATTTGACCCAGAGGCGTACTATCACCCATCGGCTGATCGACAGGGCGCTGTAAGTGCTTACCCCCAAATGCTGTGGAGTGGCGTAGGCAAGCGAGGACTGCCAGCTGTCTAGGAATGGATGTGCACCGTGCTAACCTGCCCTGGCAGATTACAACCAAGGAGGGCCACTTTCTCAAGGAGGACATTGCGGCCTTTGACGCGCCGTTTTTCTCCATGACTGCGACCGAGGCTGAAGGAATGGATCCGCAGCATAGGATTCTATTGGAGGTGACCTATGAAGCATTTGAGAATGGTAAGTAGGAGGAGATGTTGTATTCTTCATCCCGGTACAGGATGGGTGCTGACATGTTCCTTTATAGCTGGGATGCCTTTGAGAACCGTTACAGGGAGTCAAACAGCGGTGTACGTCAAGAAACCAATCAGTAGCGGAACAGAACACTAAAACACACGCGAACAGGATGGTAGGATGCTTCACGAAGGACTACGAAGTCACCTCGGGGCGAGAGAATGCATACATGTCCCCGTATTCGTCGACCGGCTGTGGTGGCGCAATGATTGCCAACCGCTTGTCGTGGTTCTACGACCTCCGCGGTCCCTCTCTTCTCATTGATACCGCTTGTTCCTCGAGCCTGGTCGGCCTCCACATGGCATGTCAGGAAATTCACAACGGAGGAAGCAAGATGGTACCCACCCTCCAAAACTGTTTCGGTCAGTAGAGGTACTAATTAAGCTTCATCAACACTAGGCCATCGTTGCAGGCACCAATCTCATGATCCAGCCCGAGGTATGGCGTGGGCTATCGGCGCTGGGTTTCCTCAGCCCTGACGGGCAGTGCCACAGCTTTGATAGCAGAGCCAATGGCTACGGACGGGGCGAAGGGATCGGCGTCATAGTCCTGAAGCCGCTGATGGACGCCGTTCGAGACAATGATGTTATAAGGGCAGTTATTAGGGTAAGCCTACAATATACATACCTATTGGGATTGCAGTTCCTAACAAAATCGCACTGAATGCAGGGCACGGGTATGAACCAAGACGGGAAAACACCAGGAATCACAGTACCCAGCTCAGAGGCCCAGAGAAGCCTAATTCGATCCACATACAAGGCAGCGGGTCTCGGGTTTTCTGAAACGGTGTATTTCGAGGCCCACGGGACAGGGACACCCGTTGGCGACCCCCTCGAGCTGTCCGCTATAGGTTAAACCATTGGAGTCGCAAGGGCAGCAGATGGGTGTCCTGCACTGCTTGTGGGGTCTGTCAAGAGCAATATTGGACATTTGGAAGGCGCCTCGAGGCTTGCGGGTCTCATCAAGACGATTCTCGTTCTCGAGAAGGGTCAGATCCCCGCTGTGTATGGCCTTGAGGCGCCGAATCCGCGGTTTGACCTGGAAAGATGGAACATCTGCATCCCTACTGAACTTACGCCGTGGCCAACGCCGGGGCTACGCCGAGCGAGCATCAATTCATTTGGGTATGGAGGTACAAATTCGCATGTCATTCTGGATGACGCGTTTCACTATCTTGCCGGTATGTGAGCAATATCTCTCTTCCCGTAGAAGCATATGTGCTGATCAAACCCCCGACCAGAGAGGGACATCACCGCTAACCACAACACGCGGCCCCATGTAATCTCGCTTCCATCAACGCCAGACTCCGGGATTTCCATTGACCCTCTGGATAACGTTTCAAATGCTACACCAAAGCTATATGTCTTTTCGGCCCCGGAACCAGACGGTGTTACCCGCATTGCCCAGACATACGCGGACTTTGTTGGGAGCAGTCATGACCCAGAACAAAAGAGGTCTGAGGAGGGGTACAACCCGATGCTGGACAATGAGCTTGGGCTTGCGTACACGCTCGCCGAGAGGCGTACAATATTCGACTACCGCGGATTCGCCGTCGCTAAGTCGCTGCAGAATCTCAAAAAGGTGCTTGAAAGCACCCCCCCCCCCCCAAGGGCAACACGATTGCTCAAGGATCCTTCCTGCGCATGGGTATTCACTGGACAGGGAGCGCAGTGGTTTGCAATGGGCCGGGAGCTGCAGGAGATGGAGGTCTTCAGCGATAGCCTGCGTAGAGCGGACGAATACATACTCTCGCTTGGAAGCGATTTCTCCATCCTTGATGAGCTCAATCAGTCGGAGGAGAAGAGCCGCATCAATGAGCCGCGGTTCTCGCAGGTACTGTGTACCGTTGTCCAGGTGGCCCTTGTAGAGCTCCTGAAGCATTGGCGGCTGCGCCCAAAGGCTGTCGTGGGTCACTCGAGTGGAGAGATTGGTACGTAAAATCCAGAGATTACGGAGATTGGGTAGCTAACACACCACAGCCGCAGCTTTCGCCTGCGGAGCGATCAGCAGAGACGCAGCATGGAAGATCGCCTATTTTCGCGGCCTACATTCCGGGCAGATTGCTGGTCTCTTGCCCGATAGGCAGGGGGCTATGTTGGCGGTCAACTTGTCACAGTCCGGGGTCCTACCCTATCTAGACAGGGTTACGGACGGAGAAGCCGTAGTGGCATGCATCAACAGCCCCCAGAGCGTGACCGTCTCCGGTGATATATGTGCGGTGGCACAGATTGAAAGTCTGCTGCAGAGTGACGATGTCTGGTGCAGGAGGCTAAAGGTTCAAATTGCGTACCACTCCCCGCATATGAAAGTAATTGCGGAGCAGTACCTGGTATCAATCAGAGACGTCTGGCCCACTACTACGACGTCCGATGTTGCGTTCTTCTCGTCTGTCTCTGGCGCCAAAACTCCCTATTCCAGCCTGGACGCGGAGTACTGGGTGAGGAACCTTCTTAGCCCCGTCCGCTTCTCCGACGCAGTTACGGCGTTGCTGAGCCAGAGTTCTACCAAGATCCGACGCAAGGGATTACCGGGTGTGAACGCTCTAGTCGAAAATGGGCCCCATTCTGCTCTGCAGGGACCATTGCGCGATATTGTAGCGCATGTTCCGAATCTGAATGCCAACTCGGTCACTTACACGTCTCTACTGCAGAGAGGAAAGAGTGCGACCGCGACAGCACTGGATGCAGCCGGCAAGCTTTGGGCCCTGGGATTTTCCCTGGACCTGGGACGAGCCAACTCCAACACCTGCTCGCCATGGGCCCAGTGCAAACCCCTGGTTGATCTGCCAAGGTATCCGTTCGACCATAAACGAAGATACTGGCACGAGGCCCGAAGTACACGAATCAGGCGGACGAGGACCACACCGCGGACCGACTTGCTGGGCCTCCCAAAAGACGATCACAGCACCGTTGCCCCGCGCTGGCACAATTTTATCAGCCCAGCGGAGATCACCTGGCTCATGGACCATCAAATCCAGGGAATCATCATCTTTCCCGGTGCCGCCATGCTCGCCATGGTGTTGGAGGCCTGCAAACAGGTGGCTGGATCTCACGCGCACTCGATACAGGGCTACGAATTCCACGACGTCACCTTCTCCAGACCAATGGTCTTTTCTTCTTCTAACGCGGTGGTCGAGACGATCCTGCAATTCCAACCGCATAATATCGGCACCCGGAGCAGCGGCACTACAGCCACCCACTGGACACACTTCAGCATTCTGTCCATGACCCATGAAAACTCCGCGACAGAACACTGTACAGGCCTTGTACGAAACATTATTGCCAGTAACCCGAACGAGGTCGACCACACCGTTGAAATCCTCCAGAGCTGGAACGCCTACAAACAGGAGCACGCGGCGATTCTCCAGAAACCCACAAAGATTCAACCGGCCAGTCGGCTCTACGACCGCCTGACGAACTTAGGTCTTTTCTTTGGTCCTGCCTTCCGCAACATCACGCGGATTTACACGGGTGACGGTTTCGGTCACGGCGAGCTGCAGATCAAGGACACGGCGGCCCGGATGCCCGCTAGACGCGGTCTTCCAGATGATGATCTGCTGTAGGACGGTCAAGGATGATTCCCCTGCCATGGCTCCCAGCCTGATTGAGTCGCTTTATGTATCAGCCTCGATTCCACCTGTTGGATCGTGCATGAGCGGGTACAGCACGCTGAACCCCAAATTGCGGCTGCAGCAAAGCGGAAATGTTGTCCTTTCGGACAATGCCTGGAGTGAGCCCAAGGTTATTCTTAAGGGATTCGTCTGCACGGAACTCGCCTCAACTCAACTCCGCCATGCTCCTCGCAAGATCTGCACACGGATGGATTGGCGGATGGATGTTTTATCTTCTCCGATTACAGCTGCGAGGCTCTGGGGGTCCTTTCAGGTACTTTCGCCGACCTTCTCGAAAGAGGCCAGAGCTTGGAATCGGGCTGCAATCCTGTGCGCCCGGAAAGCGTCCTCCACCCTTCCGCAACTAGAGGGAGGACAGGCCACGAGTCCAACCTTGGCACGGTACATCGATTTCCTGAAGACAATCGCAGTCGAGCCACTAGATGAGACCCTTGGCGAATCCGGGAACCTCGAGTCCTGCCCAGTGATGCAAACGATCGACACAGTAGGAAGCGGGCTAACGCAGATCCTGAGTCGCAGCAATGAAGCCGAGCCCATCGTGACGTCCGACCTTATTTCCAAATTCCTCAATGACGCCGTCGATCGATCCTTTGTCAACTCTGTGGTTTCGGGGTTCATCGACCGTGCGGGAGACGTCAATCCTGATAGCCAAATACTCGAGATTGGAGACGGGTCAGCTTTCTGCGCATTGTCTGTTTTACGACGCGTCGCACCCAAGTCAGCGGGATGCGCACGCCTCACGACATATACTCTGGCAACACACGAGTCCGAGGCACTCACCCAGGCCAAAACCATCTCCAAGGAATGGCCTTCGTTTAAAACGGCGCGGCTTAATGTTGAAAAAGACGCCGAGAAACAAGGGTTTGAGGCTGGCTCGTACGACTACATAATCATGACCAACCTGATGCCCACAGTGGATCTTGCGGTGACGCTAGCAGCGGTCAAGAAACTATTGAAACCCGATGGGAAGCTTCTTGTGGCAGGGATAACGGCCAATCAGCCCCGGACAGCCTTTGTTCTAGGTTCTGATGCAAGATGGTGGAATACGCCCCGGGACGAGATGGAATGGGACACCCTGCTGAAACAAGCTGGCTTCACGGGTATCGATCACATCGTTGACGATTCTGCGGACCCAGACCTACGAGGGGTCTCTGTTATGATGACTGCTGTACCTGTCAGCACTGATTATGATTTCTCGGAGGTGGTCATTCTCAATAGAGCTAACTGTCCCTGTGAGAGTGATGTGCTCAGCAAAAAATTTGGGGAGTTGCTCACCAAGCGTGATTTCTCCGTCAGCCATACTACCCTTGACACAGTACCGGAGGATCTCACAGGCAAGGCTGTAGTGTCGTTCCTGGAGCTCGACAACGCACTGCTCGAAGACATGTCCGAACACGAGTTTGTCACAGTCAGGAGCCTAATCTTGAACAGCGCAGGTGTGATCTGGGTGACCCGGCAGGGCCAAGTTGCCAGTGCAGCCTCCCACCCCTTTGCAGGAGTCGCCAGCGGACTGTTGCGCACTGTCCGCTCAGAAGATTCGACCAAACGACTCGGCAATCTCGACCTGTCGCTCGGGACAAACCCACAGGATGAGCTTGCTGTTAGCATCGTCTACGAGGTGTTCCGGACCGTGCTGAGAACAAGACACTCTGATCGCGAATCCCGAGACTGGGAATTCGCCGAAGACGGCGGCTGCGTATACATCCCACGCGTCTTCGAAGATGAGGAGCTGAACTCAACAATCACCCAGATAGACAGGGTGCCCCAGGCGAGTCAGCAGCCACTCTTCCAAGAGAATCTGCCGTTGAAAATGGTCCTGCGGGAACCGGGCTTGCTCAACACGTTCGCATTTGTGGATAACGAGGAGTTTCGCGAGCAGTTGAAGCCAGACTACGTTGAGTTGAAGGTTCTCTGCACCGGTTTGTCCCCTGACCAATTTCATCTCTCTGTTACTAACTATTTCATTTGTAGGGCTCAACTTTGTGGACATCATGGCTGCGCTGGGCCAGGTGCCTACGACGACTCTGGGCTGTGAGATTGGCGGAATCATCACGCATGTTGGGTCGCAGGTTACCCGGTTCAAGCCGGGTGACAAAGGTACTGTTCCATATATATCCCTCAGACCAAAGAATAAAACGCTGATTGAGGCTCTCTCCCTGTGAAGTTGTGGGCATGCTGCAGGGCAGTTTCAACAGCCACGTCCGCATCCGATCAACCATCATTCAGCACGTCCCATCCCACATGACTGTCGAAGACGGAACGACAGCTATAGTATCCTTCCTGACCGCCTGGATCGCACTGGTCAACAAGGCCAACCTGATCCGCAACGAAACAGCGCTGATCCACTACGGTGCCGGCGGCGTCGGGCAAGCTGCGATCCAGATCTGCCAACACCTCGGCGTCGAGATCTACACCACCGTCGGGTCCCAAGAGAAGAAGGACCTGCTCATTAATCAGTATGGTCTGGCCGAGGACCACATCTTCTACTCGCGGGATACGACGTTCGCCGAAGGCCTAATGAGAATGACTGCTGGCCGCGGCATCGACGTCGTCTTGAACTCGACCTCCGGCGAGCTCCTCCGGCAGTCGTGGACCTGTGTCGCAGACCACGGGCGCTTCGTCGAGATTGGCAAACGCGATATCCTGAACAAAGTCGGCCTCGACATGGGCCCCTTTATCCGCGGCGTCAGTTATATCGGATTCAACCTCGAGATGTACCACCAGTGCAGCCCCGTCCACATGGAATGTTCACGGGCGCTCGACGATATCTTCCATCTGTTCCGCACAAAGCGCTTCCACCCGCTGGTCCCGCTGACCGCGTACAGCTACGCACAGGTTGAGCAGGCGTTCCGGGCCCTGCAATCCGGTGCGGTCTCTGGGAAGGTTGTCGTCCAGGCGCGAGACGATGATCTAGTCCCCGTCGTTCCCCCGGTAGAAACCCCGTTTACGATTGACCCAGACGCGACGTACCTATTAGCTGGTGGATTGGGTGGGATTGGCCGCAGTATTGCCGATATGCTCCTGTCGCATGGGGCCAGAAATATTGCGTTCATATCTCGATCAGGGGACTCCAGGAAGGAAGCGAAAATATTCTTAGATCAGCTGCGTCAGCACGATTGCAATGCAAGGGCTTATGCGTGCGATATATCGAATCGGGCCAGTCTCCAGACTACGCTGGCACAGTGTGCCGCTGAAATGCCTCCGATCAAGGGTTTGATCCAATGTTCGATGGTACTCAAGGTTGGTCCATCCCTCCCTTTCTTTTACTTTTCATTGGTTCCCTGTTGAAACGCCCGTAACGCCTCTAACACGGATGTAATGATCAGGATGGCGTCTTCGAAAAAATGTCCTACGAGGACTGAATCACGAGTACGCGTCCCAAGATCCAGGGCTCCTGGAACCTGCACGAGCTCGTCCCGCCAGACCTCGACTTCTTCATCCTGCTCTCGTCAATCTCTGGTGTGATCGGCAATCCAGGACAGGCCAACTACGCAGCCGGCAACGCGTTTGAAGATGCCCTGGCTCGCTTCCGGCGCCAGCAGGGCCTTCCCGCCACGGCGATTGATCTCGGCGCCGTCCGCGACGTCGGATACATCGCCGAGTCCGACAAGACAGCGGACCTGGCGCATACTGCGGCATTCCAGATTTCTGAGAAGGAGGTCCATCATCTTGTGGGGCTTGCGATTGCAGGGGGTCCTCGATCTGAGCGCCAGATCCAGGGACAGGGCCGGGGGAAGCAGGCCCCGGCGCGGATCATCACTGGCCTGAGCGCGAGCCAGGAGATGGACGATGTCCTCCGACGGGCTCACTGGGCGCGGGATGCCAAGTTCTCGACGCTGTGGAAGCCAGGTGGAGTAGAAAACAACGATGCGGCGCTTCAGGCTGGTCTGGAAGCAATTTGCAAAGCGGAGTCACTGGAAGCGGCGTCGGGCATTGCGGAGGATATGATTGTCTCGCGGGTGGCGAGGGTACTGATGATCCCTGTGGAAGATGTCAACAGTGCGCAGCCTTTACACACATATGGAGGTAAGCTTGAAACCCTGTCCAGACAGCTATATAAAATCTCGATGCTGACTGCATGATAGTGAACTCGCTGATTGCAGTTGAAATTAGAGCCTGGATGGCAAGTGAATTCCAGACGGAAATTTCCATCTTCGACATCCTCAGCCCGAGTCCCTTGTCGGCGCTTGCCACCAAAATTGTTAGGGAGAGCAAACTGCTTCCAGAGCGACTCAGAAAGGGAATTAGTGGAGAAGATGTACAGAGAGATGGCCTGGACTAATTGTTATTGTCATTGTCATTGTATATCTATGCTACCTAGTACGGAGTAGTAATTGCGAAACCCATATTCACAGCAACAAATTATACCCCCATCAGTCTTGAAAGTTGCGGAATTTCTTCAGTAGTGCAGAGACCTGCGAGCGTGCAGCGTCTACTTTAGGGGCATAGCTGATCCAGCAATCGCAACTCCCCCGTGCGGCGCTGGCTACCAGGCACTCGACCTTGGACATGACATGGCGGAACCGAATCAGGAAGAATTCCAAACAGATAAGGAGCTCGAGGCCGTTCTGTTGAACGCCCAATTGTTTCTCGTCGGCGCCGGCGAGGCAGATGCATGCTCCAGCTACTTGGTCATTCTGTGAGTCAGGTCTGGCAGGGAGAAGAAGCTGCTGCTCCGAGAGATTGCGCGAGCCGCAATTTTCTGGAGCTGTAGCAGTACACTGGTGTATTTGGAAATTGTGCTGGATAATGTCGATGCACACCTGGATTGCCTCGCTGAGTGCGACCGCGATGATCTTGGCCTCAGACATGTCGGAACGCAATGTCGGCGACGCATGCAAAGTATCGTCCTGGAGTGTAAATGCCGCCTGACTCAGCTCGTCAAAGAGTTTGCATATTACTTGCACCTTGTACCGGCCGGCCTCGGTGAGGAGATCGAGCGTCGTGGATTTGCAGTTGTTATGCAGTCCGCTGTAAAGTTTCAACGCATCCAAGAACCCTTTGTCTCCGGGTCCGCTACGCCCCTCTCCGTCGAGCTCATTCAGGGCCCCCGGACTCCCCAGGAGAACGATCGGGTCGATCGGCAAGGAGTCGCCCACTGACCCAATATCTGAGAGACAGGCGTCCGACAGAGAACCAATACCCGACCCGTCAATGATTAACTGGCCGACAGTATCCCAGCCACGACGATCAGGTGGTAGAAAGTTATCAAAGGATGCTGAAGGTGATGCAAGCACAGGGCCTGGCTGCTGTGCTTGCCATGTAGACCCACTATTCCATCCAGCGTGGCCGGGGCTCCACATGTGCGCTTGACCGTCCTGCAGGGGCCCCCCAGTGGTGCGCTGCTGATAAGGCTTACCCATGTGTTGCGCTGGACCCGTTTGCGCCAGGGAAGTTTGCGGGGGGTCACTTGTGGGAGTTTCCGCTGTCGGATGGTGGTGTTGTAATGAAGACGACGCTTTGTGGCATTTGGACGGGCTGGAAAGAGGCCGCTTTCGCGGTCGCCCTATCCTATTTCGAAGCGAAAAGAGGCATTGTCGTTGGTTTAGCGCGCAGGCTTTGCAGCGACCTCCGCCGGTGGCCACGGACAGTTCACAACGGATCTTGCGCGCGTGGCATTCTTCACACGCCGACCGCAACTGTGCTTCTAAGGATTCTTCCGTCCGAGTCCGAGCCCTGTCTTGGTCTGCCATTTATATAGTGGTATTAAGTTTTATCTCTCCGAAACTTGTGGAGTGCGCGACTGGACGCGGTGGTGTGGCCTTTTATGCGAGCTGCAATGCAGTGCAGTGCGCCTGATTTCGCTAACATTCCCCGGAATGACCGCTCAAGGGTCTCCAACAAAAACCCTCGGTATTAAAGGATCGTTCAATACTATGGTCAACGAGCGGGGGCCAACAATCAGTGCGCCGCTAAGGCTGTTGATCCGGAACGCCAGCCAAGTTCTAGTCAAGCCTTGTTACACGGTCTATGCGGCTAATTGTACCTTTCTGAAAAGGGCATGACGGGGCTGACTTTTATCTGCCCCCAGGAATTGCCTAGCATGCTAACTTGGTGAATCCCTGACTCAAGGAACCACTCCGGATGCAAGCCGACTGTGCCGCTAGGAGCGCCGGCCCTAACTGGCCGTCTTATCACCGAGACACGACCAGGGACCTTGCTGCATGCAACTAATTACACTTGGAACCCCTCATCTGGCCACAAGAACTGTATCAGTTGTCTATTCGTGGGCTCTCACAACCCCAGGAACCATCGCCGCGGACTCCGGCGGTGCGCCCCCGCTCCTCCCTCTCGTCGTTCCCCAACATATTATTATGCGCTCGCTCCCATTACAAGCTATACTAAGTAGGTCGCTAAGACAATGTCCATGTAGCACGGTGTCATCCTACTACCTCACCTCGCAGATAATTCGCCCTCTTCATGCATGAGCGCAATGTCCCACATCCATCGTGTAGCCACAGCCAGCAGTCCGGCCCACCCCCAGGGGACCAGCCATCCTAGAAACAAACACATAAGGCATTAGCGAGAGACTCCCCCAAAACACCGAATAGCTCAACTCACCAATGAGGAATACTGTATCAATGCTTGAGAGAGTCACGATGAGAATGATGAGCCCTGTCGCCACGATCGCTCCAGAAAGGCCCCACGCTAAGTCGAGGCGCGCCAGCAGAACACGAATCGCCTTGCTCGAGCAATATCGAGCATTGAGCAGTCGGCGATACCCCTCTCCCTGTCCACCATCAACTGCGAGCACGTCTTCGACGATGGTGTAGACCCCGGGTCGCACCAGCGCTGTTCTGTCCATCGACGAAACGCGGAACGGATATTGAGCGTGCATCCGGCTCATCACGCAAGCGCATAGCAATTGGCTACTAATTTGAAGGATCAGAACTGGCAGGGGTAGACTCATGAGTCGAGTTGATGTATCCGCGATGTTATCGTCGTCGTGTTGGCTTGTGCTAATCGCTGCTATCATCAGGGCTGCGATGTAACAGAACCCCGTGAAAAAGTTCCATTGGAAATAATCGAGCTATGTGCGCAAACATACCATCGTATTAGCCAGTTGAAAAGTTTGCCATGGACCAAATATGAATCACAACTAGACTCACATGGTGCCGCTTGCTTCCAGTCGGTCGACAGGTAGAGTCAGAGCGAACGAGGGTCCAGGTCCGGCGGAGCAGAGCCAGAACACTGCATGCGCCGATTGCCGATGCGAGTAACATAAATACTGTAGGGCTTATCTTGTTAGCAAGCCAGTACAGCTACTGCGCTCTCCTCCGCCCGGTGCGGAGAAGAGGTACTGCGTACCTATCCAAAGTTTGAGCCTTGCAACCTTCAGTAAGACAATGTATAGGATCCCTGGTAGTAACCCTGCTCCTGTAAAAATACAGGCTGCAGCGATTGTGATTACCATCCTGTATCGACGAAGGTCTAGTGGGATCCTGGTCACCTGGTCTACATCCGGGTCAGGATTGGAAACCTGGACTATCTGCGAATCCTTTGACATCGGTGCAAGAGGCGACAATGGAACCATAGACTAAGTAGAACCAAGCTGAAGCTATTTCTATACACTAAAATTTGAAAGGAAAAGTCTGCGTGAAGTAGTCGCTGAGAATCATGCTGCCTGCCTAGCGAAGCAGGCGCCAGAAATCGACCACGCCCGCAATAAATCCGGCAGCTTGTAAAAACGTCGCCGACCGAAAGGCCCAAACTCTGCTGGCACATGAAAGGGGAAATATTAATAATGATAATAATTAAGACCTTATAAGGAGGAAAAAAAAAACAAAACAAAACAAATCCCTCCGAAATTGGAGCGCACTTCAGCCGGCGTGTTTTCCCTCAAACTTGGTTCAGGCGATCAACAAGAGTCTGGCGAGAAGGCATTATTTGTAACCCTTATGGGAGTCACACTACCTGTTATTGACCATTTCGTGTGGCCTTCTCCGATTTTATTCAAAATTTTGTATTCTACTATATAGATATATATATTTTCTCTTTTCCCCCGCACCCTCTGCACTACTTTCTGCTTGGCATTCCCCGCGCAGACATAACCTTCAATCTGTCACACAGATGGCGCAGCAAGAGTGTCCCAGAGCACCTTTTAAGGACTGGCCGAATGATGCAGGCGTACGTAGCCCTGTCTGACGCTTGATGAGGCTCGCTAGCTGACGATATTATCTTCCCACAGTTCGAAGCCACGGTCGAGACGAGCACCCCCATTGAGCTCCAAGTCGTTGGATCCCTCCCAAACCAGCTCGCTGGTACGTTGTACAGAATTGGCCCCGGGACGTACAAAGTCAAGGGCAGCCACTTCCAGCTCAGCCACTGGTTCAATGGGTTCTCCTTCGTGCACCGATTTGAGCTGGTGCCCCAATCCGCCACAGGAACGTGCAAGGTGCTATACAACTCGCGAGGACAAGTCGATGCCCTTGTTGAAGAAGCGCGAAAGTCTGGCACGTTGAAGGGGATGACCTTCGGGCAGAAGAGGGATCCCTGTGAGAGTATATTCCGGAAAGTCAAGTCAATATTCCATCCGCCTTTCAATTCCAAGGACCCGGGGCTTGTCAATGCTGGAGTCACTCTACATGCTAATGTTAGCTCGTTCTTTTTTCAAGCCTCTGATGAATACAAATTGATTCTCTGACTGGACCACGCGTTAGGCCCCTGGTATGCCGGAAATCTTAAGAGCACGCCCTGATAGTGCTCGATTCCGCAGTTTGACCTCGTTGACCGATGCTAATGTGCTGAAACACGTAGGGTACTCCCCAGCTTTTCGACACATCTCTCGAGAGACTAACTCATAATATCTCAAGATCCACCCCGATACACTGGAGCCCATAGGAGTAACCCGGCAAAGCGACCTGCACTCCGACCTCAAAGGGCCGCTCTCGTGCGCCCACGCCCAGTTCGATACCACGACAGGAGATGCCTACAACTACAATCTTGACATTGGCAGATACGCAACATACCGTATCTTCAGGACCTCCGCACAGACTGGGCAGACCGAGATCATCGCAACCATTACGGGCCCCGATGTCAAGGCAGCCTACTTGCATTCGTTCTTCCTCAGCACCGACTATGTGATTCTGTGTATCTGGCCTGCCCTCTATGGAGCCGGCGGGCTCAAACTACTCTGGGACAGAAACATAGCAGACTCTTTGCATTTCGATTCCAAACTGCAGGCTCGATGGTATGTTGTTGACCGATTACACGGTAAAGGCGTCGTCGCTACATACGTGAGCCCAGCGTTTTTCTGCTTCCATACTGTCAATGCATGGCAGGAGACGAGCCATGACGGGTCCACCGACATTATCTGTGATATTATTCAGTATCCTACCGACGAGGTGATCCAGCGCTTATACTATGAGGCCATGGTTTCCGCCGGTCCCAATGTCACGAGGTACTATGGCAGTGAGCACTCGCGCCCCAGCTTGGTTCGCTACCGTCTGCCTTCTGTAAACCACAGGGCCACCGAGGAGAGCACAGCTGGATCCACCTGTCTTCCAGACGCAGAGACAATATTGAGAATCGATGACAACTGTGTCGGAGACCTGCCAACGATCAACACGCGCTTTAAAACAAGAAAGACCCGATATGTCTACAACCTTGCAAATCGAGGAAAAGTGAGTTATCCCGGTCTATGGAATTATTGCTTATTCATAATTCATTAATGACATCTCCAACTGGTTCTAGTCATCCTTCTTTGACGCCATTGCAAAACTCGACCTCGACACGCAAAAATCCTGGCTGTGGGAGCAGGACCGCCATACCCCTGGTGAGGCCATCTTTATCCCCGATGTCGAAGCACAAGCCGAAGATGCGGGGTATCTTCTGAGTGTTGTTCTTAATGGAGACACAGGCACAAGTTACCTTCTCTGCTTGGACGCATGTACTATGCTGGAGGTTGGACGTGCTATATGTGATTCGGCCATCGGGTTTGGGTTCCATGGGTCGTATTATCCTACCCCAACTTTGTGATACATATGTTGTGGGCTATCCACTGTGTTTCTCTTTTTCCATTATGGTAATGAGCTTAGCCAAATTAAAGGAAGTCCAGTGAAGCTGTACTGGAATGGCAACGAAAGAACCAATTGTTACATAGGTCAAGCTATGAATCAACAGTCACTTCACAACTCTTCACCACCCGCCCGGCTCGCTCACTTAGGTGGTACCATACACAAAATATCATTTTTACATTAATATATCTCAACCATTGTATTACCTATTGACTTACAATTTCTAGAGACAGAAATATTAGTAGGCCTGCTCACTAATATTTCATTCTATCTTTGTCTATTGAATTGCCAATGATTGACCCACGAATCTGTTTTCCTTTGCGTCTGCTGTAGCAAGTCACACAAAGCTAGATAACACACAGCTGGGAACGTCTTGATTTCCAGAGAGCTGGTGGAAATCTTATTGCAGCCCCAGCCCCGGGAAAGACAGGGCAGGTAGACAAGTCAAAGAGCCAAGCTAGCTCTGCTCTAGTGCATACCGAAGAAGTTTATGGCAAGAAAATCGAAATTTTGTCACCTGTTCAAATCCCGGTCCTATTATCTTTTTCTATTTTCCTTCTTTAATCTTTCTTTCCTCGCAAAGCGAACCGCCCTCTTGAACCTCCGAGAATGGCGAGTGATTAACAGTGGGAGGGGAGGTATGTAGATAGCACGGTAATAGTAGTGTCTGCCCAATTTTTGAGTCTCTCAGCCACGGTATACTGATCAAGGTAGTAGTTAGTCATATCAACCAGAATCTCTCAACTGTCCAGCTTTTCACTGACATTATAAAACAACCCCCCACACCCCGGAGATTCAGTTCCAAAGCTCCATATCCTCTTTTATATTCGAGTCCTTCAAACCGTACAATTGCCTCTACACACAAGACCACCAATATGAAGCTCCTGATCATTAATTCTACATCTCTCTTCGTTGCCGCCGTGGCAGCCACACCAGTGATCGATAAGGCAGAAAGACAAATGCTACCTACGGTCTGAACGCCGACGCATTGAACTTTCATATTAATCTCCCTCTTTTTCGTAATATTCAAATGGCCCATGTGCACGCAACAGTGCCACTCTGATCAAGCTACCAACTGCTGCAAAAGTTCTGTTGGACTGATTGGAAGTTCAAGCTGAGGGCCCCAACCCTCCGGATTATTGTAAACTCTGCGTCTGTGATGTTTAGGTCAATTCTTTCAGACTAAAACATAATCGCCGTATATAATAGCCAACACTTGGCAGATATGAGCGCGTCCGCGTTCTCTATGGTTAGTGGATCACATTGTCTTTGGCGTGATATTCATCCACTATCGATTTGTCAATGATATTAGTTTCGTTGCTCTCAATTAGGTCTCACCCGTGCCGGCATTGTTCTGGGAGCTTGAAAGTATGACTAGTGACCCACTTGAACTTGGAGCTATGGCGGATTTATCGGGAGAGGTATACTTGCTTGGGTGTCATTTGTGATAGTTATATTCATCATTATGACCCCCCGGGATCGCGTCAGAACATCTATTACGGTCTAAAACAGAAAAGAGAGCTCGATTCTCAAGTTGCAGAGAAATGTAATATCTGTATTCTTCCCAGGTTTCAGTATTTGTATTATCTGTATATTTATATATATGAATTTTATTTTATTCTACAGCAATATCGTCTAAGCTTTACACCTTCAGAAAGCTAGAGACTGCGCTAATTAAGCCTAATCATAGGGTTGATGATAAGCCGGCCTTTAGGGAGATAATGGAAACCGGGTTGTTTAATGACAGTTTTATTTCTGTGCTTACATCGATAAGACCTAATTAATTGTAGTCTCAGCTGAATAACCCCTGAGTCTATTTTAAAAACAATATGTATAGGCCATACCGATAAACCATGTCTCTATCCAGAAGTAAATTGAGTTACTGTCTCCCTAATGAAAAGTGTACTAATTTATAAAGTAATCCATTCGGCATACTGAGAAAGACTAGACAGTGAGACCTTGCCTGGAGAATTGCTACATATAGTACTACTGGATTGGACAGCATCTACGATCTCTATCTAGCATTCACAAGTCTTTTAAGGTTGTCTGGTCTTGTTTTGTGCTTTCTGAAAACGGCACTTGGTCATATCTTCTCGTGAAAGGATCCAGAAGGCTGGGACGATGAGTATCTCGCAATAGAATGAATACGAATAATCAGAGAACAATCACTTCGCGAACGCATCTCAACTACACTGTTGACAAAGAAGGAGAACTCGCTCGGTCATTTCCACCCACTGAACGAGACGGATTATTCCGAGCTTTTATCCAAGAGAAAATTAACAATCCTGGAAAGTGCTTGGCTGTCCCCCTCCATAGTTCCTTCCTTGTCTTCATCGACCCAGCCATGGGTGTAGCCCCCACCAAAGTCGATAATCCAAAGATTATCGTCAGCACCGACCAGGATGTTGTCCGGCTTCGCATCACCCCAAACTATCCCCGCAGCATGTAACTTTTCTATCATGTTTCGGATCTGGTTTATCCAATTGATCCGAACTGATAATGGGGTGCTTGGTATATCGATATATCCCAAGATGTCACGATGATCAATGTAGTCCATCAAAATTCCTGATATCCTGGATGTACCGCTCTGAAAATCCACGAACTCATGTATCGTTGGCGCACGGATAATGCCCGACAGGCCGAGTTTCTGAATACGGAGCAATACTGATATTTCTCGATTTGCGTTTTCACTGACATGGGCTGCTTTGAAAAAACGTGGCATTCCACGCTCGTTGAATACCTTCGTTGGTCGTTGAGATAAGTCTCCCCCTGCCGTGTCATGTGGTAACAAGACTTTCGAGGGCGGAACAACTGGAATCCCAAAGTCTGCGATCGAACTGGGCAATTCCACATTTGGCGTAAGTTCCTGCAGGAACTGCTGACTCGGTGTAGAGGATTGCACATTCAGCCTCCCATCAATGATTTTAGGAGTAAGAATGAGGGTGTCAGGATAAAACCAATCATAGAGAGTGTGAAGTTGGGGTTGTCGTTCGGAACCCAATACTCTCATCTCTGAGTTACACTTGAAAGCAATCCAGAAACATAGCTCTTCCATTGGATCGCCCACATCATCATTCTGCTCGAATGGCTCATCCGAATCCAGCTTGCGGAGTAGAGACAAATATTCGCTTTCGACATTGGGATCTCCTTGAAGATTCTCGGCGGATATCGTGATATGGAATCGTTTCCCATAGCAAAGTATAGTTAATTCGGCGTAAGTGCCAACACCGTACATAAAGTGGAGGATTTCATACGGTGGTAGAGATTCCGTAGCTAGGGGGTCAACTGGTTGGGCCATGGCGATGAGAGGTAGACAGATGAGGTGGTTGGGAGCAAGGGGAGTGAGCCATTTAATTAGTTCCTCCGATATCTTGGCAGGCCGTCCTGACTTTGAAGTGTACCTCAACCGAGGGGCACGAACGACTTTCACACCCTGAAAGCATTTCGAAGCATTATTTCCACCATCGAGTGTTTTCAAAACATATGCTTCCACTCCAGAGTGATTTTGATGTATGCCAAGTCGAAAAGACCGGTCTCCAGCAATGAGCCTGCACCTCAACGCGGTGCTGGGGTATAGTAGCCAATTATGGTGTAAGACGGGCTTCTTTCCCACCAGGTTTCACATGAACTGGGTTTGTTATCTGTTGGGACACATATCTCTCCGTCGCCTGGCTTGAACCACGCGATATATCGTTTTTGGTCTAGCGGTTAGTGCTTCGACATTATCTTCTGGTCGTATCCCAGTCCAGGGAAAGCCTGCTGGTGCTATTGTCGTACCTGCCTGTCTCAAGGTTTGGGCGCCCAACTACCATGTTGATGCTCTCGTCGATTAGAATATCTGCTGCTGCCATGCAAAATCAACTGTGAAGATTGAGCTAAAGACGGATCTCAGTACAAAAGTAGATATGGCTAGATGGATAATTTAAAGATCCATGTAGCAGACCAATACACCATACGCTGACTGAGTCATACAAAGAGAAATTAGGAAAGATTAAACAAGGAATTCGAACCCCGAAACTTAGGTACACGCAGAAATCTTCCGGCCTCGCCGAACTTGGCTACATTGTAATCAAGACATCGGCATTCGAGATTAAACCACGTCGCGTCATTTTGTACGATCTCTTAGTCCACGTCGAATATGACGCATTGCGGCTCTTTTTGTGACAAAGCATGCGGTAGTGCCATCGGCGGCGGTTTCAATGTCACTACCTACAGCATTGAGCGAAATGTAAGATGGGTCTATCGCGACACTGCAATATGGTCCGGATTATGGTGCCCAAGGAACACTGCTAGAATGGTCTGTTGAAGAGGGCTGGGAGCCAGTGCAAGGTAAACTATAAATCTTTTTGGGTCAAAACTTAAACTTGAATACTGACAAGAGGCACAGTTTCTAAAGAGGCATATGCCTGATGAGCCCTTTCCCCCGAACAAATACCCACAACGACTGTTAACGGCCGCCGTGATGCGCTCATGAAGATGCGCCTGCTGTGGTCTTGGGTGGGACCCGTCACCTTTCAAGGATCTTTACAACTTTCACATATGTCATTGATTACCTGCGGCGTTAGTATTGTTATACTCTTATAGGACGCTAACTAGGGACCTAGTAGAATGGGGACTGTCCAAGTTCAAGTAGTTGACCCATGTCTGCGAACCATAGAGTGCAGGTCCACGCACGGGCCCGGTAGTGGGAGACGGAGAGGAAGACCTAGGGCTAGTCCAGGTAGAGCAGGTGGCCTGATGTCTTTATTTACGCCCAGGTGCTAGATACGTCCTAGTTCTCCATGCACTGATCAGCATTTATCCGTTGCATACACCTGCCCAGGTGGCTAGTAGTATTACACTGCTAGTTGGCCATTAAGTGGGACTGTGTACACGTCGTCTAAGCCGGTCTAGTAATAATCAATCGATTCAATACACTACGTAATACGTACAGAGCAGTACTTCCAGTTGGAACATTTCATGAAATGCGCTAATTGTGGGACGGGACGAGGGAACAGGGCGCCGGACGGTCCGTAGCGGATCTCAGCCTCGCATCTCCACTTGTGATGAGGCTGGATGCCTGTAACACGTCCAGATTTATGCAACTTGAGCGAACCAGGTTGAGAATTTGGAAATTCAGCCCCCACACTAAATTGCTTAGCGTGATGAGGCATATGTACCTGTCATCATCTTTTTGTTTCTTTCAAGGTTGTTACGGTCGCTTTTACCCGCAGGGCTAGCTATATGAGGAGTCCCACCCCCGTGTCTCAGACCTCGACATGTGCACCAAGTGCTAGCTACACTAATCACCATGCCTTCCAAGGCTTTTATCTTTTGCTACACCGTATACAGCCTCATCACCGTCCCGGCACGGCTGTTGGTCGTAGCGATTTACAACATCCCGAGATTTCTTCGGCCCAATGCTGCTTGGTCATACAAAACAGCATGTACGTGCAGTGCATGGGCTATGCTTTTGAATCATTGGACGACTATTCAGAAACTCTGGCCAAAGCCACTGGAAGCAGGCTCATTGGGGGATCGATTCATTGTGCTCCACCCCCAAAAGACCATCACCACGAAGACCGAAGAAGGTCAGGAACAACAAACCCAATCCGAAGTCTACAAGGGAATCACTTGCTCAGTTCCGGGAGTTGAGCCCCTACCCATTGGGGCTGTCTGGTTCCCGGAGGCCCCAGCTAAGCCCCCACAGCGAATAATCATTCACTTCTACCCAGGTGCGTATGTGATGTTCGGTAGTCGTCCCGGTGAAACTGGCGATGTAGGCCTCAATGAACTCTGCAAATTGTCCGGATGGCCAGCGCTTGCCATCCAGTACCGCTTGTCTCGAGATAAGAAAACCACATTCCCTGCCGCCCTTCAGGATGGAATCACTGCCTACAATTATGCTCTCGAGGTCCTTAATATCCCACCATCTCAGATCGTATTCGCTGGCGAATCGGCAGGCGGCAATCTCGTCGTGGCACTGCTCCGCTACATCAATGAGGAAAACCCGGCGCTTCCGTTACCTCGCTGTGCAATTTTGTCGTCTCCTTGGGTCGACCTGAGCTCTAAGGCCATTGAGAATGCGCCCCTGAACCGCAATTACAACACCGACTTTATCAAACAGAATTTCCTTGACTGGGGCCGGAAGGCCTTCACTCCTGAGGGGTGGGATAGCAGTAACTCCTGGATCACGTTCCTAGGAAACGAGACTCAACTGGGCGTCCCGGTCTTTGTCAATGCTGGTACATCGGAAGTCCTTTATGATGACATCATGAAGTTTGCAGAGAATTTGAGGGAAAAGGGTAATGAGGTTGAAGTGCTCGAATCTCCCAACGCAGCCCATGTTCCTTATCGGTTGGGTAAGAATTGGAACCTGGAAGAAGCTCAGGCTATTTGCTTGACAACCATGACTAAATTCCTCGAGAAAACCGGTGTTTGAGTGGGCAGCTGTATATATACCTCTTCTCGAAGTGCTTGAGATAGACTCAGTAACTGATCGAAACATTATATGGACGAGCTAAATTACTTGTGCGATACCTTATATCCCCAGTTTATATAGAATGCATACAACTTTGGGAACGTCGAAATGCATTTCTCGAATTGCTTTGATTGAAAGTCAAGAACTGTAAAAAAGGGAAATTCATCTGACTCACCCATCTCCGTAGCTTGACTAATTGGCAAGACTAAGCTCACCATTTCTATCGTCCTAAGAGGAAAGTGATCAATACTGAAGACCTGCGATCTTGGACTTCCGCCCAACGTATTGAGGCCGGAATATCTGTCTATATAGACAATACAGCCTCAACTCAAAAACAATTGATAATCTGAGCAGAGTTCACAAAAAAAATAGGCTTGGCAGGACATCATTGCACTCCAAGCGGAGGGATCATCGCGCGGCTGCGGTTCGCCATACTCTTCCCCGTTAGTGTTTTTTGCAAATCTTAACGGTCATTGACCTTCAGGTAATTTCCAAGAAAGGTGATAGTAAACATTTGCTATAAATATGAGATTACATAAACTCACACACTGCCATTACACCGCTTCAAGCGAAGACATAAGAGAGACTAATCACTAAAGACCCTGCAACGCCATTGCATCACTCAACCTCTTCACAAACACCTGAACATGGTCCGGTCCCAAAACATTAGCATGGTCACCTGGCACATGGCCCAAATTGATTTTCTTTGTGGAAAAGTTATCCCAAACAGCTAGACGTTTCTTCCACTCTTCAGGTGTAACATTTAAGAATTCCAGCGGAGTGCAATGAAAGACATCCATATGAGCGTTGACGACTCCATTCGGCTCATAATCTCTTCCTATCTCCTGTAGGCTGAAGGTAACATTTATCCACTGCTCGAGGCCGCCTTTATCCAGATCCAACGCGAGGAGCTGAGCAGGATCCACTTCCTCGATTACTCTGGCCAAGGCCTCTTGCTTGGGGAGTCCGGAGAGCTCCGTGAGGAGAGTCCGGTATGAGTCCCGAGAAAGAAGGCCGAGAAAGTAAGAAATGTTAAACAGGCAGTCGGTCCATGTAACCTTCTTCAGGATTGGACTGACATATGGAGGGCGGTTAAGACCGGCTAGGTATTGAACTTGATCGCCTTCTTTCTCGATGTACTTGGCAAGTTCGAATGCTAGCATCGTTCCGTAGGAGTATCCAAGTATAGCGTAAGGGCCGTTCGGTTGGAGCTTCTTCATGGCGGAGTGGTATGTGCGGATGCATTCGTCGATGCTGGTGAAGTATGGCTCTTTGTGGTGGAATCCGCGGGCGCGGAATGCGAACACGGGTCTGTCTGTGATGAGCTTGGCCATGTTGATGAATATGAGAGCTTCGCCTGCGGCGGGGTGTACGAGCCATAGAGGTGTTTTATTGCCGTTGGGCTGGAGCTTGACAGCTGGGACGTATTGGTGATGGTGTTGGCATGTTTCAGATAAACCACGGACGGTATTGTGGGCCATCATCGTGGCGAGGGGAATTGGCTCATTTAGTGTCAGTCTCGATCGCAGACCATGTTGAAGCCGGATAAGCGTTAACGAGGTAAGGCCAAGCTCGAAAAGGTCGGTGTCGATCCCGATATCTTCTTGAGGTAGGGATAGAAGCTCTGCTAACTCGTCCACGATTGCTTGCTCGGTTGGGGACCCGGGTGGTCTGGATATCGATTGTCGATATCTCTTGATCATGTCACTGTTAGTAGCTTCTTCCATTTTGTACTGGCCACTTGCAACTTCCCGCTGCAGGTTAGAACGAGGAAGCTTCCCCAGGGATGTGCGTTGTATACTTTGTAGAGGCAGAATATACGGGCGCACATTTGTTAT